AATAATTGATTAAATTAATATTTTATTACTTACGAAGCGGTAGAAATTCTATTTTAATTGTTTTTCTTTCATGAGTTTTTAATCATTTAATTGAAGTTATGTATTAATACAATCAGCAATTAATATTGATGACATTAATTCTACGGCGATCAATTTTTTTTCTATATTTTTTGTTTGATAGATACTTTTTATGTTCTCAAATAGTAATGTGGCGTGCGTCTATAATAGAACTGGGTATCTATCACGTTAGCAGTTTCAAAATTTTAGAAATAAAATATGAAAATGTGAGAATTTATTGAAAAATATGTTTATTCAGTATAAAATTTAAGCTTTAATAATGGTTATAATTTTTATTTAACTATTATTATTTATTATTTCGCACTATTTTAGCAAAAGGTGTATTTATTTTATTTATTTATTTTTAACCAGCAAATACAAAATACATAGATTACGAAGTATCCATGTACCCCACAGAGATAAATACTATTATCTGTTCGTGGGACTGATAAAAGAACAAATGAATAAATTTCTACAATAAAACATCTAACTTTATCATGTAAAATATTTGTGTTCGTTTTTTCTTTGTTCTTCGGTAGAATTACCTATTATTATCTCATTATCCGGCACCCGGCCGGATCCTGATCCTCTGGGTACCTGATCTAAACCGGTACGCGGCCCATTCCTAGTTTTATTTAAAACGTTCTTCTAACGTCTGCAATTGTTAAACTATTAAATTGAAAATATTGATTGACAAAGTTTCTTGAGGTACCAACCGAAAGACTGATTTATGAACAAAATAGATTAATTAAATGGAAAAGGGGTTCCACCTTTGCAATTAAAACAGAATTTATATCTAATTAAGGGTTTTGTTTAACTTCAAAAGTAACTTTTAAGATTGGCGGACAACGAAAAAAATATTGGCCTAAACTGGTACATCGTATTATGTATTAATGCAAACTTTTTGTAGGACTATTTGTCATTATTAAAAATATAAAAGGAGACTATAACGATGTAAATAATCAAACCATGAGGACTTTCCCCAAGTACCACAACACTTAAAAAAGGCGGACACGTGTTTCTCTCACTTATATTGTGAGCGCAGGTGGTCTCTTTGAAAATACTCCACAATATGAATGGGCGAAACACGTGTCCGCATTTTTTTAAACTGTTGTGGTGTTTGAGTTAAGTCCTCTTGGTTTAATTAGGTATTATTAGTCAAAAAATGATTTTTTTGCATTTTTTTTTTCTTATATTTGTATAGGTACTCATAATCGAAAAATTACCATGTTAGGCAGAAAAATTTTTATGTTCGTATAAAAATTATTGGACTAATATTGAATTTTCTCAATATATTTCTCTTTCACCCACTTTATAGTGACGAGCACGGTAATTTTTACCGTGATTTTTCTCTCCGTGTATGTAAAGCAGTAAGAAGGCGTTGTATTGAATAAAAATATGTAATAGGTAATAAAGGCGAATGGTATATTTAGAAACTGTATTATTAAAAGAATGTCATCTATTTGAAAATATGCATTAATTGCCAAAGCATATAGTTATTAGATAGTACAATTAATATATTTATAAATATCAGTACTATAGTTCCAAATTCTCTGTGGAATTTGAGTGGTGAGCTTTATAGTAATAAGTAATTTATTTTTCATACCGTACTTTCGCTTATTATTTGTCCGCCAAAATATTTGTGAATCAAACCCATAACATACGGATGTGCGAATAATCCGATTTTTTCAAACGCTTCCATTATATTTCGAATAATTCGTAAATTTGCTCTTTTTTTTATAAATCTCAATCTTCTTGATTCCAATTTACCACAGTAGCACTTTATTTCTTAGGGATCTACCTACATTTAATATTATTGATCATCTGCTAGATTGGTAAGACACCTTCACAGACATGAAGGGCATGTTAGAAACATATTAGTTGCTGAAACAGGAGCAAAGAGAGGCAGAGTCAGACCTATTCTTTTTTTTTATTAAATTACTGTTACACCTTCTGAGTAAGAGATCTTTTAGAAGCAGAAATAGGAATAAAGAGAAGAGATAGACAGGTAACTCTTGTGGGATGTGTAATGTTGTAGTTTGAAGGAAATACGAAGATTGGTTCAGGATATAATGGAGTGGAAATGCTTGTCCAACCAATCCTTGAATTGACAACCGTCTAGTTCATTAAATAAATGCCATTATTTGATAATGTTAAAAAAAAATCGAATTATTTGATAATATTTCGAAATACATATTCGATTTTTTTTTCGACTTATTCGAAATTTCAGATATTCGCATAGCCCTACGTAACAATATATATTTTTGGGGAACAAATTTTCAAAATGTATATAATAGCAGATAAAGAGGCACCAACTTTTTTTTTTATTAAAACATTACAATTCTCAACATATTGCGTTACTTCACATGTAATTCATTTGTAGTACATTACGAATCTTTGTTTGGTCCCTACTAATTGCAAGTGGAATCAATCTCGTTTTATTACATTCAATAATTTGATTAAATCAAAAATAATATTTAATAAAATAATTAAAACATGAGTATTGTCAAAACGTCGACACTATGTATGCATTTAATTTTTATTAGTTGTAAGTAAAAATATTGTAATATTATTTATATATATTTCCGTAGCCNCGATGACGAAAGGCACAAGAAACAAGAAAGAGAAGACGCTAAAAATTCCAAGCAACACGAAAAATGCCGTTATGTAAAAGAGTATCTTTTGCTTCCAAGTCTGCTTAACCTTCTTCTCTTCCATGGTCGCTGTATAAACTTGACTTGGAGAGCCACCATCTGCAGTCAGCCACGAAAATTAATATTATGCTCACACTAATCGTAAGAGCGACTATGGGGTAAAGGGGGAGTCGATTAGTCTTGCTAATACATTCGATTACATTTCGTCTTACTTTCGTTCGGTTACATAATTTATCGGTAAGTAATCTTAAAACCCATCTACTTCTTCCACTTCTTGTGCCACCGAAAATAGTTCTGACCGTCATATAGCATGGTAACGCAAACACTGCGTGACTGCAGTCGATGTGTTCTAAGGTATCGATTTGGACAACGACTATGCCAAAGAGTTAGTAGAGCTTTTGAGAGTAAGAGAGAGAGAGACTTGCTTTTACCGAGGAAAGCGGAACAAGTCGACGCCACATGACATGTCTTTTTGACGTCCTTTAAACCCTTACATCGGTCCAATCCACATCGTTCGGCAGCGGCACGGAATCCAAAAGTCCGGTAATTTTTTAATTTCTTTTATCAATTAGTTACCTAAGTAAATATAATTGTTGGACGTTTGACTTTAGATTTATTGCAACAAAACAAATTGAGATTCGTACCTGTTTAATTCAAGTTACAAAATCTTAATCTGTTACAAGGAACGTAAAGTTCAACTTCCTTATATATATATATATAGGTAGGTAGGTATAACTATAATACAAGTATTGAATGTATGTATATTATAAGTGTGTTCGTGGTTGGAATACTTGTAACAAATTGGTCTGTGCATTAAATATCTGTACAACTTGAGCTATCGAGGTTTTATAACTTTTAATTAGAAGCGAACTTACATACAGGTTTAATGCCAAGAAAACCATCTTTCTTATACTTATTTATGGATCGAAATTATTAATTGTACAGTTAAAATATTCCAAAATCACAATTGCCTGTACATACGTATCTGTAATGGCAAATTTAATATTTATTGTCTCATATGTTTATTCGTTTGAAAATAACACCGGAAACGTGCAATTTATAACAAAATCTTTTGAAAATATAAGCGTTCACTTGTTATTGTAATTAATCAATTTCACCACTTATTTTCGATCCATAAATGAGACGGTTCTCAGATAGTATGTGAATTTTTTTGGTTTTGAAATGTTTTTTTTTTTTTCGAAATACCATTGTTTTCTAATACTTTCTTATTATAATTAACACCGTAACATTAGGCTTTTAGAATGTGTCGAAAAAATGCAATACACATTTTCAGTATAACTTTTACCATTTGTTAGTATGTAAGAAAAGCAGCAAGTAGCTAATAGATAACGCGAAATTTTTATCGATAAGTTGAATTACTGTTACCTCCTTTTTCACTCTTTGTGTTTCGATTTAATTTTAATGTTATATAAAGGCGCGAAAAATGATCGTTTAATTCTAGATTTTCTCTCAAATTTTTAAATTATAAATTCGTTTTTAACGGTTTACCTATACGCATCGCATTACTTATGAAAATTATTTAGTTAATCCAGCACCTTTCTGTTTCTTTAATAACTATGGATCAAAAACACATAAGCGTTAGAAGAACGACTTTAGAAACATATTAAATATCATTTATAGGACCACCAGACGTCGAAATACTGGTAGTCATCTCTTTTCCAAGATTCCTGAAAATTTGCGAGCGTTAAAATTGAAATCAGTGCAATGAAACGTTGCAAGTAAGTGGATGTGATAAAAGATTCTCACCCTGATAATGAATGTGATTTGTTTATAATCTCTTCGTTAAAACTGTCTCTACTCATTTCATCCGCCATGGCAACTTTGAGTTGGTGTCCAAAACTGGCGAGATCTTCCCTAAAGGTCTCGCTGGCCGGTGTGAGTGCACCACTTGCTGGACGAAGTGACGCGATGTCCTCCATGCTGTTCCCTTCCTCGTCGAGGCCTTCTGCGTTCTTTTCGAGTGGTGCTTTTTCCTCGTCATCATTGTAAATTTTAAAATAAGCAAACGTCAAATAAATGACGGAAACTATAAAGGACGGGATAGGTATTGCCATTGCATATACTAAGTTCATGTAAACTTGCCACATGTCCAAATGACTAATCACCAAACCGGGATCGACTCTGCTGTAATAACAGGAAAAGTTTGTTCCTATTCCTTTGTACTTTTTTAAAAAAATTGTACAATTTAATGCTGGCGGGTATCCGCAACCTTTCACGTTGGGGAACAGTTTAGCACCGATGTAATACCATTCGGAATCGTTTCCCATTAAGCCCGTGGGTGACGGTTCGGTAATAAAATCGTCGCTATCAAATTCATCAAAGGCAGCATCTTGAATCAATCGTTTCCTTCTGTAGTCATCTGGTGGTGTCGTCGGTTCCACGGTTGTTGGCGTGAAGTTAAAATCAGGTCCTACTTTTTTATAGTCGACGTGAATTTGGGTGCAATCGTATATTTCCTTCGTACATCCTTCTCTGCACGATGCCCACGAACAGTTGGATACTCCGAGTTTTCTCTCTGCCTTTCTGGTCACACATAAAACTGGTTGTTCGTCAAATTCCATGAAAATTGTCGTAAAAGATGGATCGATGACGAAAGGCACAAGAAACAAGAAAGAGAAGACGCTAAAAATTCCAAGCAACACGAAAAATGCCGTTATGTAAAAGAGTATCTTTTGCTTCCAAGTCTGCTTAACCTTCTTCTCTTCCATGGTCGCTGTATAAACTTGACTTGGAGAGCCACCATCTGCAGTCAGCCACGAAAATTAATATTATGCTCACACTAATCGTAAGAGCGACTATGGGGTAAAGGGGGAGTCGATTAGTCTTGCTAATACATTCGATTACATTTCGTCTTACTTTCGTTCGGTTACATAATTTATCGGTAAGTAATCTTAAAACCCATCTACTTCTTCCACTTCTTGTGCCACCGAAAATAGTTCTGACCGTCATATAGCATGGTAACGCAAACACTGCGTGACTGCAGTCGATGTGTTCTAAGGTATCGATTTGGACAACGACTATGCCAAAGAGTTAGTAGAGCTTTTGAGAGTAAGAGAGAGAGAGACTTGCTTTTACCGAGGAAAGCGGAACAAGTCGACGCCACATGACATGTCTTTTTGACGTCCTTTAAACCCTTACATCGGTCCAATCCACATCGTTCGGCAGCGGCACGGAATCCAAAAGTCCGGTAATTTTTTAATTTCTTTTATCAATTAGTTACCTAAGTAAATATAATTGTTAACAAAAAAAAAATGAGAATGCTTTTTTTCTCTGAAAAATCCGGGACCATATTGATTCAACGACGCCGCAGTGAAATTATTGATTTGGCGATTCCAATGCGCGCCTTTAAGGGCGCATGCAGTATTCCTTCGCAGTTCACCATTACAATCGCTTCTATCATGTAATTTAACAAAATCGTATAAGAAACGGCGAGATTCAAAGACGCAAGATGCCGAAGAAAAAGCCCGTTCCCGTCGAAGAACTTATCATCCCTCCTCAGGATAATCGAATATGTGGTACAATCTGTCTCTGTCAAATGACTTTAGTACTAAGTAGTGTGGCGATAGTTTATTTAACGGTGGCCATTTACGTACCATCAACTCGCGCCTTCAAATCGGGAATAGGAGAAAATCCCGTTATGTGTACCACAACGAGAGCTCTAACTGTCGAAAACTGTGATTGGGGATCCTGCGGCGAATGGTGTCTGAGTAAGACTTCCGGTGCGTGCACGCAAATATTCGTTAATCTGAGATTAAACGGTTCGACATTTTTATTGGTCAATTGTACCAATACAGCAAACAAGACGTGCTACGGAATCGACCAAGAGAACGCCAAAAAGAGCAGGTGCATCAAAGACGAATGTAAAAACTTAACTGGAACATTCAATTGCACTGCAGGAACTTGTATAAATATTACCGACGCGTTCGAGTGCATATTTAAAGACACGGATCCGCCGTTGAAATGTTCCGGTCGCAGAGGTAAAATCACGTGTAAAGAAATAGACGGTTTATACAACTGCAATCGTGGAATTTGTGCTCGTATTCGAACCCCGTACAATTGCGACCGAAGATGCGTCGATATACCAACTCGAAATAAAAATGTAATTATGTTAAGTGGCGATAAAGTGTATCTTTCGCAATGTCAAAGGGCGCTCGAGTTCGAAAATGGGGAAGAAGTTTGGAACGAATCGCAAGAGAACATAATGATGGCATCTTGTTACAATATCGTTAACACCAGTCAAGGTGTTGTTGCGACCGATTGCGTAAATGGATCTCTCTTATCAAATAATGTGCTCAGTGATCTTACAAATTTCAGTTATTTGAGCTACTTGAGTGTATTTAATACCGTGCCGCTCGATGAGAAGGGCATCTTGGCTCCTCCCGAACCCGATCTAATCATTGCTAACGAAAGTAAACTTTTAATTAACTTGGAGGGTTGCGTTAATACTCTTCAAGGAGAATGTAAGGAATTTTTGCGCGTTTACGGCAAAGACGGAACAGATCATAACGCTCGTGCTCGTTTCCCGTGTTTCTATGCACCTGAAAATACCAACGTGGTCGTTACCAGATTCGATTTAGTAACAACGACAAGGCAATTTTTCATCGCCCTTGTACTACCTTCTGTTCTTTTTGTGGTTTCGTGCCTTACGCTTATTCTTTGTCAGAGAACTGTTGTTGTGGGTGATGATGCTAAAATGCGTTTTCAAGGTTGTACGGGGACCGAAACAACCGTTCAAACTGTTGATAAAACTTCGGCAAATAATAACGTGCCAGATAGCGGCGGCGGTGGTGACAATATAAGGGCACTTTGAGATCAATCCAGTAAGTTTTTGAAACTGGTCAGTTGGATTACTAAAAACGGACGGATTTTTAATAAATAGATAGTAAGCAGATTAGCTTTTTAGCGAATTTCAGGGTCTACTCAAGGACTATTTTTACACCCCTTCTAGTTGCCTAAGATAAGAAATTAATTTCTAATCAATAAAGTTATTATTTCTTCGTATCATTTCATATTTTGTTGCAGGCACGCCACTTCTTCTGGGCTTAGATTAAGTTGAAGTTAAACTGCATCGTCTTTCAACAACAAAAAAACCGTCTTGACTGTTTTCACACAAACATATATATATAATTGCAACCTTATCACTTTCCCAAATTCCCTTTCCACTTTACCACTCCTTTGTCCTTGCAATAAATTATCTTTATTCTGCCATAAATTAGAGTCATCGAAAATATTAAAACAATAATAATTAGTATCAATAATGTAAGAATGACTGTAAAACAATTATCTCTAATATCTCTTGCGGAAACGGCAAAATTTTACACGTCACTGTGTCTAGGTACAGTTGCCTTCTTATCAGTTTTTGCCTTTTTATTCTTGATTCCTTTCGTCGTTGATCCGGCAATTAACAGTCTTCTTGCCGATTACGAACCAGAACCAGTGACTTGTGTGACTACCGATCATATTTACGCCGAAGGTCTTCGTAACTGCTCTTGGTCATCGTGTAGAGAGGGTTGTACAAGGGAAGCAACGAAATGTCATCAGATTTACGTTAACTATTCTAGACTTCCCTTTCGAGAATGGAGACCGTGGATCGCAATCCAATGGGACGTTAGCGATACAAGATTTCTGATAAACACCGAAGGATGCGGTTATCCTCCCAATACAAACTGCTCCGATTTTGCCCGACAATATGCTTATAAGTTTTCCGGCACGCCATTTCCTTGCTATTATAGTCGAACGTACCCCGAAATTGTTGTGGCCAGATATTCATGGGACGATACGCTGAGACATTTGGTGTTATCTATTGCAATACCGAACTTATTATTCTTCGCTTCAGTAGGAATGTTAAGCTACTGGTACTGTCCAGGATGCGGCACTTCTTGCAACAAATACGTCCACCATTTTCCCACAGAGTAAGATTCAATACCTAGTCCATAATTATTACAATCACAGATAATCCAAACTAAGTACAACCGTTATATTTTCTTTCTCTTTTCAGAGATGAGGAGTATGATGATGATGGTTATTAAAGTGCAATATTACCTAATTATAACTTGATTAATTAAACCTGGTATACACATGTAATTACGTACATAATCACGTATAGCTTTACATTGTACAAAACGTTCCGCTGTTTCGAAGTTTAAAGTTACTTGTACTTATTAATTAAGAAAATCAACGAATTGCGAAACGTGTATTAGTAATTAATAAATTATGATATATTTCTTCGATTCACAAGTGTTTTGTGTGACTTTTAATTTAACGATCGCTTGTACAAATGCCTTTTAAAAAAATAAATTAAATAAATACCGATTTTCCTGAAACTCCGAATGTTTACTTTAATTATTTCTATTACACAGTGATACATTTAACTAATTCGAAAAATATAACGTCTACACAGTTGACACATTTATTTATATTTGATATATTGCGTAGAGAAAAAGTTTTTTATAGTTTGTTAAAAAATACTGTCTCGACATATAAAAAAAAAATGAAGTTGAATTCTTATCGAATAAATGTTTCGTTGGCACCGTATGTTTAACAAATTACATTACAACTTATGTAAGTGTCCCAATAAATGTTTCATTTCTGTAGGCTAGCTTTTAGCATCTTTTCCGGTTTTTTCAGAAATTCATACGAAGTTCAATTTGAAATAGGTAGATATCCAAATTTATTATTAGATGGCAATGACGCAAACATGAATAGTTAGAAATAAACTAATTTTAATCAGTTGATAGTAATTCATTTCGTAGTCGACTTTTGCGTAAATTTTTTATAAATTATTGATTTTCCTGAACGTACGTATAACCTTCCGCGCATAATCAGCAGTCGTGTATGAAGACGGCTATTAAATAAAACTTTTGGTGTCCTAATTTAATAATACATATTCGAATTTACGCTTATTAGTGCGATGAATATGTTTCATAAAATATTTATTGTACGAAAACATATTTTTTTATTCACGTTAAAAAGGACGTAAAAAACACCTCATATTTAACGCGAACACTCTCAAAATAGAATACAATCAAAAATACAATAGAATAGAAAAGAATTTTTTTGGAGTTGCTGATGGCGCTTGCGTTATCGAAGGGAGTCAAACCGCCACCTCCAACAGTTCGTACGACCGACTGGTCAGTATCGTCGTCATGTAGAAAATGTGTCGTACATTTATTGATACTTCGTATTCCTTTTATAAAAAGAAGGTAAAAGAAAAAAATGGGACGACGCAATAAAAACAACCAACCGCGCCTTATCCCAGCCCAAGATAAAAGGATTTGCGGTAGCATTTGCTTTTGTCAACTGGTGGTAGTAATAAGTTGTGTTTCATTTATATATCTCACCGTGGCGATTTATATTCCCGCATATAGAGCATTTCATTCGGACTTGGAACTTACGCCAGTAATGTGCCAAACTATAAATACAAGTATGTTAAATAACTGTAGTTGGGCCAGTTGTGGAGAATGGTGCCTTACTAAGACTTCAGGATTTTGCCCTCAGATACACGTAACCACAAGACAAAATGGGACCATTGTACAATTACAAAATTGCGACAAAACAACTGAATTCTCATGCCCAAATGTTAAAACGCAGTCACTGAAAAAGTACAATTGCAACAACGGTTCTGAATGTAATTCCCTGACAGGATTTTTCAACTGCTCTTTAGGACATTGCGAATATTGGTCATCAGCCTATCACTGTCATTATAACGCCGACGGAGCAGTTATTGATAGCGATAAAGATAACACCAAACTTAATGGATTTTTTGAATGCAAAAATTCTCGATGCACAAAAGTGAGAAGGGAATTTTCGTGTGACAGATACTGTAGCAGAATTAATACTATTTCTGGAAATATTTACATATCTGTCGATGATAGCGTACATGTGGCGAAATGCCAGAAACTAATTGCTTTTACGGCAGCTAATGGCAATGAGGAAGGATCTGTTGTAGAACCGACACTCGTTTGGTCCTATCATCCAAAGGATATTATTATGATGTCCTGCAACAGTATCGAAAAATACGGAGACTCACTCAAGTACATATTAAAATAACGGTTTTCATTCGAAATTTATAAACTTCGTTGTAATGCACTACTTTTTTTAGTTTAACCGACTGTATTAATGGAACAATGTTTATCTGGGACGACATTCCCAAACCTTCGATTAACTTTTCTACTTTTTGGAAGCTACAAGACAATTACAGACAGCTTCTCGACGCTCCCCAACAATTTTTACCGTTACAATCGACGCTTATGATATATCCCACATCTCATTTGTACATTAATTTGGAAGGTTGTGTTAATACTCTGAAAGGCGAATGCAGAGAATTTTTGCGAACTCACGGCCGTGATGGACGAAATAGAACAGCACCGTCGCGTTTCCCCTGCTATTACAACAAGGTATCCGTTTATGCAAATGTTTACATGAATGTGTACGTATTTTGCTAAAATTTTATTTTATGTGCGTACGTACATACATAAATATATGTACATTTTTAATGCGACTATTGTTTTGCAGAACAACTCACGCATAGTGGTTGCTCGTCATGACTTAAGAAAGACCGAAAGAGAATTAATTATAGCAATAAGTGTACCGTCCGCATTTTTCGTTCTTTCATTTATAAGTCTCTGTACCATTATGTACCTCGTCAAAGTGGACGACGATACTAAGATGCGTTGCAAATATTGCAAAACGAATTCTGAAATTGATATAAACGAACTTCACGCTCGAGAAAATAATTGCTTAATGCCAACCGATAACGAATTACCCCAAGAAGGTATTTCTGCAAATTCGCCTAGGCCTATCGAATCTTAAAAAGTGTCACGTTGTGTTGCAATGCGTGTGTTAAAATTATGTAATTGATTTGTAGAATTATGTTGTTCTATGTCTACAATTGCATCTCCTGTCAGCAACTCTGCAAAATGACCTACACGATCTACTCACATATTAAGTGATTTCCATCTGATAACGACCTTCAAAAAAAAAAATACAAAATAATCTCTATAAACATAACGAATTTAAAGTCTATTATAACTGTGCCTTCAATGTCTTGCTACTTAATGTATTTTCCCTTTTGTAGCAGCCCTCTTATATTGAAACTCAATATTTTCTTATACATCATCAGACTCGGTTTTTAATTGTATTCTATTTACTATAACTTCTTTATATATATATATATATGTACAACATGAGATACGCTTATTACCATTATGATACAATATATTATACTGCTTGTTCATATGTACCTACCTACTTTTTAAATATATACATACATATATATATCGATATTTTGTATGTCTGAATATGACCCATTCACAAGTTTTATTTTTCATTTCCATTACTTTATAAATGTCTTCACTGCAACGCGATATTTATAAGTTTATGATGGGCACATTTCGGGAAAATCTGAGAACGTATTAATAAACAAAATTGATTGATTTCAAATAAAAATAAATGAAGATGTCTAGTACTTGGCTTTTGTGCCATTATTTTGTTTCGCAAATTTCGTTATAAAAAAAACTGGATGTATATAATTTTTTCAAAAAAATTAATTCCGGCATTTTTGAAGTAAATTCGTAAATTAGATGAATTTATTTACAATTGGAGCTCTTGTTTTTGAAAAAATTGATATTGGTGGGCCAGTTTTTTTATAATCCTTTTTTTTTTTGTTTTGAAAAACGGTGGGACATTTACTTTATTCCTTACATTGAGGCAAACCAAAAATTTTATTGAATTAAAATAAGATGCTATGATTCAAGACTGGGTTTAAATTAAATATAATTAATAAATAATNCGATAGAAAAGCATGATGCAGCTAAAAAATGAATTTCTTAAAGAGATTTGGCCACCAGTTTTAATTTTTAGAACTGATTATTCTAAATAGGTATACCAATGGTTGACGTTAATATTATTTTTTTTAGTTAACGAATTTTAAGCGATATTTTAAAATACCAAAAATATTAAAGTAAATTTTCATTTTCTAAAAAGCTTAAAGTACACAGAATATACCACACAATGTATAATAAAATTTTAAGACATATTTTACATTTTAGTTTTGGATCGTACGCCTGTTTATGATATCATTAAATGATTGTTCTAAACAAATAAGTAAATGTAAATTTCTGGGCAATTACATAATGGATTAAAAATTTAGAATTTATTATATTTACAATTTTAGACGTGTAATTGGCATACGGTATTTCAAGGAACATTTTTACGTATTTGTTTGTGTAATATAAAAACTTTACCACATATATTTATTTATGTACGGGAATAAAATATTCTTTAGCATTCCATCCTTTTTTAACATTTTATAAGGTTTATAATGTTAATATATACATATAAAAAAAGTTTATTCAGTTTATTTATATGATAATCAGTAATATACAATCGAATTTTAGATTCATTCTAAATAACAATTACCTAATAAAGTGCTTTTCGTTGCAGAACAACCGGGGGACGAAACACTTTAAACAGAAAATGGTGAAATGAGCTGTACCAGATACTGCAGTTCTTGCTTTTATTCCAACTCAACTTACCAACACTTAGAACAATTATTAAAAAAGGTGTGCTTATTTTTAAAGGAAGTTAGACCATATGTAAGTAAAATTTCAAATAAAAATATTACACAGTCTATATTGAATCAATTGCTTTTATGTAAATACATATATACATAATAATTGTATAAAATCTAAAATGTAACTAAGGTTGAGGTTGAACATGATTTATGCTAGTTACCGAGTCATTATTTGTATTGGCTTCTATAGCTTCAAATTTTTCGTCAGTTACTTTAGGAGTTGATTCTACTTCAGCTTGTTTTTCGTTTTCTTTTATTCTTCTCTCCATGAATGCTTGTTGTGAATCAACATATAGTGCCATAATTTTATGATTTAACTTTACATACTTTTCAGCACAGTGTTCTACACAATCAGCTTCACAAACAGCTAAATTTCTAGAGCTGAGATCGACTATACAAGCGTTAAAGCAACTTTCAGACATCGAATTGTATATCATTAAAAAATCTTTAAACTAAAAAGTTATATACTGTTACTAAAAATTCTAACGTGTATTTATGATTATCATAATCAACAGTGCTTACGTTTCTAATCCCAGATTCGACAGAATTCATTGCAATTTTTTAAAAAAATTTTTACTTTTTTATTTAATACCGGTCTAACCTGAATCCACATTTATTAGTAGTTTATTTTCACCAGTTGCATAGTTCAAAAGATGCATGCAGTTGCGTAGTTCAAAACTTCTATTGCAGTACACATTGATCTGAAAATGTTATACAAAATTAATGGAAATAAGTTTTAAGTTGTACCATCTATTGTACAAAATACATAACTAATTTACTAATTAATAATGGATAATAGCACAATATTTTTCTATTTTATTCTGATCATTAATAGCAGAATATATATTTAACTCCTTCAACCATTTTAAAATGAATTTTGAGATAGAAAAGTACTAAAACTATTACTTTCAATTTTTTAATTTTTTTTTTGTAATAATCCTAGATCATATCATAAAAATAAAATAACATTTTGCTTACGCAACTTGCAAATGTGTAGGGTTTTAAGCGGCATTTACTAATTAGTTACATGGTAGTTATGAACAAATAACTGCCAATATACTATTGAAACTGTAAGTAAATAGTAAACTAGTCAACGACAAGATTACATTTTCTTGAGGTTATGTTGCATTTAGTAGTAATTGCTGTGTACCACATTTCTTCCTTTGATTTGGTAGTTATTAAAAAAAATATTTTATAAAACCCGTAATTTTATAATAAAATGAGTGTCATGAAAAATATACGCACTCCAAAAACTACGCCAATTGTTAATGATTATGAAATTACAAGCACTGTCTTAGGACTTGGAATTAACGGAAAAGTCGTAGAATGTTTTTCCAAACAAACAAGAGAAAAATTTGCATTGAAGGTATGAGACTGCATTTCATTTTGATCTGTAATTAATTATTATATTAATAGGTTTTACACGATTCACTAAAAGCCAGAAGAGAAGTGGACTTGCATTGGAAAGTAAGTGGATGTCGGCATATAGTAAACATTATAGATGTATATGAAAATACCTACAATGGAATGAAATGCTTGCTTGTTGTTATGGAATGGTAATGATGTTCAGTTAATCATTTTAAACATTAATATATGCGTTTGTTTTAGTATGGAAGGAGGAGAACTTTTTCAAAGAATTCAAGACCACCAAGAAGGTGCATTTACAGAAAGAGGTCTAGTACATACTGCCTTCCATTTATTCGTGTGATAACTTGTATAATAATTTTAGAAGCTGCCCAAATAATGCATGAAATATGTATTGCTGTTAAATATCTTCATGATAATAATATTGCACATCGTGATTTAAAACCAGAAAATTTGTTGTATACTAAACAAGGAAGAAACGGTATTTTAAAATTGACAGACTTTGGTTTTGCAAAAGAAACATTATCTAATGATACATTACAAACACCTTGTTATACCCCATATTATGTAGGCAAGTTTGAGATGGACTAAAATAGTAATTATTTATGTTACATATTAAATTTTTATTTTTTCAGCTCCAGAAGTTCTTGGACCAGAGAAATATGATAAGAGCTGTGATATATGGTCTTTAGGAGTTATTATGTATATATTGTAAGTTTTCAGGTTTTAATCATAAATGACATGTCTAGAAATCAATTTATGAAATTGTATTTTAGATTGTGTGGTTTTCCACCGTTTTATAGTAATCATGGCCTTGCAATTTCGCCAGGAATGAAAAAAAGGATTAGAATGGGTCAGTATAACTTCCCTAATCCCGAATGGCAAAACGTCAGCAAAGATGCTAAGGAATTAATAAACGGAATGCTAAATATTGACCCAGCGAAAAGGCTAACCATTGATCAAGTTATGCGCAATTGTTGGATAGCAGTAAATTATACAATTTGAAGAAGTTATTTCATTTATATTTGTTGTTCCTTTTATAGCAATATACTGCTGTGCCACAGACACCACTTCATACTAACCGCATGCTTAAAGAAGGTGAAGAAATCTGGCCTGAAGTTCAAGAAGAAATGACAAGGTCACTAGCAACCATGCGTGTAGATTATGATCAGGTACATATTAAAACACTAGATAACTCCAACAATCCTCTTCTTAATAAAAGGCGTCGTAAAACAGCAATTCAGGTACAATCGAAAGAACAATAGCTTCCAATAATTTAATATAATGATGTTTGTTGCTAACTGGAAAGTATCCAGAATAAGTACAGTATATTCACATGTAAGATGAATTTATAACATAATCTTGTTAAACTGTAATTGCAATTGCGAAGTCAGTTAGCGAAAATTTAGTAATAAATGTTGACGCAAATTGTTATATTTTTGTAAAATATATATATATGATGTCAACAACGTTTTAACGAATCTGCAAAGTACTTCTACATTAATCTTAGTAACGACCGAGGCGAATGACGTGTAATTGATATATGTGTGGTTTTAAACAACCACGAATTAAACAATAAATATTTTTTTTCTTTAGTGTGTCATTTTCTGTCCAGATCATGAAGAAATATATAAAATTAAATTGTAAAAAATATTTATTTACAGAAATTATAAATAATACCGTCGAATATCTTATAAAGTAGGAAGGTAGTATCTTACATTTCGTTTTAATAAATAAAAGTCGATATAAATATGAATATATGAACATTTTTACATGGAGCAAATAACGGTAACAAATGCTAGCTGGTTGTTCTACATGAGGGTTCAGAATCATTACTGCTACTGCTACTATCGCTATTATCAGAGTCTTGTTTACAACAGTGACACTGCGGTTTATGTCTCCCACATTTAGTTCTACAACCACTACACTTTGATCGGTATATAGGTGTAACGACTTCCACTTTTATATTTGCCGTTGCTGTAACTTTTGTTGTATAGGGCCCACTAGAACTCGATTCTGGACTACTGTATTCCACAGTGACCTGAGGTTCAACGACAATACTCTGATTACAACTTTCTTCTGTAATCGTCGTTAAACTTGGCTCTCGAGTAGTTTTTGATGGTGAATTACGTCTTGTGGGTTTGACATATATTGGCGAACGGGTTGGAGCCTGTGGAGGTGGGGGCGGAGGAGGCGTAGAAATTCGCTCGCTATTTTCTAAGGGTTGAACTTCAGCTTTTGGCCCTACCAGTGAAAGAACGACGGGGAAAAGTAGTAACGAAAAACCCAAAGACGAACACACGGACATCACTAAAGTCATAAATATGTGGTATCTAATGAATTCTAAATTTGATAAAGATAAAATTGCCACGCAAGTAAGGAGACCAATGTCACCTTTAAAAATAGGTTCTGCATTTACTTCCAATGATAATCTAACTCTTCTTTCCCTGTTTCCTACTGCATTTAAAAACCCCGACAATACTAGTACAACATTTCTACTGATTATTACAAAATACAGGGTTCCTAAGGTACCTGTCAGAGCATTAATATTCATCAAACACATCATTAACATACTTGTTAAAATACAAAAAAGTAAACACCACAATTTTGACCAATGTACTAAGAAACACGTAAAAATTGTTATCTCTCCTAACATAAAAGCCAATTGCATCAAAAGTAATTTATCTAAAACGAGAAGTTGATTAAAAAATGAAAATATTAAACCTATAGGATAATTTTTAAGGCCTTTGGCAACAAACGACGCTGATATTTCTTTTACTTGTTTTAACGTATCGATTATTTTCCCTGTCGTTCTTAAATTTTTAAAGTAAAACGGCATTTGTGTGTATATAAGAGGTTGAGATTTTGGAATCTTTAAATCATATTCAGTCTTAGTGCTGTAATACTGGAACGGTTTTGGAGTTAAATTTGCTTGAGAACTAGAATAAGACATTTGATCGTTGCTATTCCATACAGAAAGATAATTGTAAAACGCTTTCGGATCAATTACATCTCCCTCGACGAGTCGTTTATTAAGGATTTGACTTTTGTCAACTGGAAATTCCACGACTCCAGTCTGAGCTAACAATTTAAAAGCCAGCACAGCCTTTTCTGTAGCATTTGGAAACCATTTTTCACTGTTTAAACATTTATTCTTCCTATTAACATCGAATTCTTGCTGAAGATCTAATAAAAAATCTCTAAAGTTAGCAAGCCAAAAGTCATTCATATTCAGGCCCCCATTCGAGTCTTTCATGACATGAGGAACTTTTGTAAGAGATGCATGATATTCATATAACAATGGTTGATTTAAAGGATATTCCAGTTCGGTAGTCACCAAATAAAAATTATAAAATCCAAAAAACCTATTGTGTGCTTCCAAATACTTGTATTCTTGAGTATGTCTTGGTAAAAATGTCGAAAGTCGAACATCGTACTCTAATTTAAGTCCATTGAAGACACAAAATATTATTAGTATAGCATATGTTAAACACAATGTCACCTTAAAAAACGGTTTTAAAAGAAAATTCTTCGAGTAGTAAATAACAACTGATGGCACTAAATTGTTTTTCTTCTTGCAAAGACTCTCTGGCGAAATTAGATTTACACCGCTCTCCTACAATAAAACAAAATATTTTAAAGTAATTCAATGAATGCAAACTTAAATTAAACGATAAAATACATAATTAAATGAGTTATTTTTAATGATATACTTACTAAATCTTCGTTGTTGTTATTGTTAATAGGTGCTGAAGAATTCTTTGATTCACTTCTTAAGCATGGCATATCAGATTTCTTGCATCTCACCTTTAAAGCAAGAAAAGCCGGGAAAACTAGTAGCAGGATAGCACCATGAAAAAGGACGATGACGGCACATTGCATGCAGAATACCCTCAATGCAGGAATTGGTACGATTGCTGCGGCAATGAAGGCTGCAGCGTTGCTAATTGCTGTTACCAGAATCGTTGGCCCCGACCTCTGTAGTACTTCTGATGGTGACACGTTTCTTTTCTGCGTGGATAACAACAAAAAGATCTCCCTCATCGCAAGACCTACAGTAACGAATGGTAAAACGTGAGTACTCAGTAGGTTCATAGGAAGTCCAAGAAGGCTGCAAACTCCTAAACTTGCAGCTGCTGAACTGGAAAGTAACAAGATTCCTAACGCTGCAAGGAACGATTGACACAGCCATCCATAAATAACGACCGCCGTAAGTGCTATTACCAATTTTAAAAAGTCTGTTTTAGATTCTTCTGCAAGTACGCGATTTAAACTACTTGTAGAGAAAGTATTAAAATTATACGACGATGAATTGACTTTGGTTAGTCTTTCTACCTCCTGAAATTAAAAATATAGGCATTATAAATACAAGCACACTTACTTTAAAAACAAAAAGATTTACCAATGAAAATCGCTTTTGCCATGCATTTAAAACCATAGAAGCCTTCTCTTGATTCCACCCAATGTGATGAACTTTGTATGTGTCTGACCAAAATTCGTATAGCTCGTGTTCTCCCATCAGTTGAACTACCGTTTGAAGTGCTTGGGCTTGTTTGATGTGACCAGTTTTATTTTTTACAACACCTCCAACAATTAAATCTTCAGGCCAGTGCATATATTTTGCTGCAAAACCATAGCAACCGCTGGTGAGTTCCGCTCCGACATCTAAAGGGTGGCTAGAATTTCTATTGGGTGACATTAAGGGGCAATCTGGATCAAAAGGGTCTAAACAAGGTTTCTCTTGATAACCTGAGGTAATTCCTGCTCGTCGAAAGTAATCTTCTAACGAATGGTAATCAAAGCGAGATTCTTTTTCTTTTATTTGAGCAACCAAACGGCTCGGATTTAAATTTGTCCATTTTACATTCTTACCAATACCGTAGCTAAAATAAAGTAATGTATTTTTTTATTGTTGAAGAAAAAGGTCTTTCATAAATTGTGTAAACACTCTACAATTGGGAAAAGAATACAGTATCATATCGCGACATACGTAAAGTACTAAAATAAAAATCTCGATAGAATGGGATGGGATGAGTTGGTTGGTGGGGGGGGGTTTAAATACTGTTTGACGAGTGCCTACGTAATTACTAAACAGCCACGAGATAAACTTACGGGATATGTACAGGATATTCAGGTCCCAAAAGTTTAGATCCTTCCCAAAAACAATCTAAAGGAGTTATGATAGTGCATGGCATCATATTTTCAAACATTTGTTCAATATAATGGACATCAAAGTCAGGAACACTAGGAGATTGACAAATATCTTTAAGTTTCCAGGTGATATCGAACATAGTGACGGTGACTTGCGTAGCTTGCCTTATCATATTAAGGTGTTCAAGAAGGCCCCTACTATGAAGAAGTCTACCTTCGGGATCAACCACCGTTTGTACAACTATTTGATGTGTTGATAAAACCTCAACAGAAGGAGTCTCCTCGGGCTGACTAGGTTCAGCCCACAATTGCAAAATGTCCGAATGAAAGGTAGCACTTTTTAATCCAACGCAGAAGGTGGCAATGACAAGAAGGCTAACGAAGATAACTTTTCCAGCATGCGCTTCTAGGAATGTACCAAGTGAACGCAGTTGTCTCTGAAGCCGCACGCGTATCCATAGGATACCGCGATCGCCTCTTGCCTTGCCCTGCAACAGAACAACGTTGTATGTTCATTAAGATCACAGGCCACCCAACTCGTGCCCTGACGTCATTCGGACCACCCAAATACTGCCGTACTCACACATGCTTGTTTATTCAACCATCCTTCTCGGAAGAAGTTCAGAAAAACATTTTTTTACTTTCTTAATTTAATTATGTCTCTTTCGTATATGTATATTAGCTTGACATGTCCGTGCTGTTATTTAAATTATAACTACATAGTTTATAAACATTTGACATTTATTTTTTGTTTTATCTATCTGTTTCTGTTTTACTCTATCTTTCTCATTACATATTTCTTTCATTTTTAGACGGTGCCAGGTAGAAATTAAAGAAATTACGGAGCAACGACATAATTATGAATATCAAAAATTTTATTTTATGTAATACAATGTTATTTAATAATAATTTAATAATGTTAATTGAGCTGCATTTGACCAGAAAAACAAGGTATGAAAAAATTTTGTTAGAACATTAAAGGATTATGTTTTTTAATAAATATATGGATTAATATGTCACGAAATCATTTATATAAGCAAATAAATGTACAAAGTTAAAATCTTTAGAAAACTACCGAACCATTTATGAATTAAACAGGAAGAAACCTGATTTGTCTGTAGATTTTATAAATTTAAATATAAAAATGACAATATTGACCCAATATTTTATAATTGAAATAGATAAAGAATTTGTACTACATACTATGTTATTTATGCTTCTTACCATTATTTTCTCAAAAAGAACAGTCAAATTAATTTTGCATCTTGTATTTTTAGGAATTTCATATTATAAACTTCCTACGCCGGTTGGTCCTTATTATTATCGATAACTGATAACCCTTTGCACTAACCAATACACCAATGAATATTTATTACAACGTGGAGTATTGTTTCGACGATAATAAACTATCTAGCCGTAACGTAAAATGTACAGTCGAATTTAAAGTGAAAATATGAGTATAAATGTACGTATACGGCAACCCCGCATATCTCATGGTACGGAAAGAGCAGACCAGGTAAAACTAACACGAGCAACTAAGCTAGCCGAAGACCACACACGGCGCTTCTCCGGTGGTCCTACCAAGGCTAGCGTAATAACACGGCACATCGCCCACTACAGCGCGTTGAGATCGGTTCCAAATTAACCATCACACCTGATGCAACAGTAGAACCTTTTTTTGACCAAAAGACAGCATGAAAATTTCATTTTACTTTACTTCTCTTAACTTGGGTAGATGGATATCACACATTAAATATGCTACAGATCAGATGATACAGAAACAGCTGAATAATAAGTTTAAACTAATTCATAAGTTTGCAAGCGTAAGTATGTGTTATTTACATTCATTTGACAAATAGTAATTTTATAATTTCCTTTGAAGCATTAAATGACGAGGACAACATTTACCTGTTCAATTTGAATCAGTGCTACAGCAGCATCCACCCACCCCGGGCGCACATAAAGATCGGAGCGATGTCGTTCCGGGTCAGCTTGCGAGTCAGCCGAGGCCATGCTCGCCGTGACCGAGAAATCTGCAAATGCAGGCCCCCGTAGTGGGCATTAGCGCACGTAAAGTTGCCACTCTGATGAACACCACCTTTCATCAACTTAACTGCCAACATCGAATACAAAAAAGGCGTTCATTGCCACAAGACACATTTATATACATTAATTAATTACTTAATAGTCCAAATTAAGCAAGTTTTATACTGCCACAATCTTGCAATTGTACGTTACTAAACATTATTGTATGTTAAGTTACAGTTAATGCTAATAAAGCAACTAAACTTTAAACTTTACAGATCACACGCACTTTTTTAACTGATTTGATTATGAATGAACTGGTATAAACGCACGTATTCGACTCTCGTCTCGAAACATCGACGCGTAGTTCCTACGGTTTGCTGCCTCCTTTTCAGCCGCTTCGAATGGACAGGCAAAGACAACTACATCCATACTACTACACATACTATATCCAACAAAACGATGTTTCGGTCTGCGCACGCCGACGCCGTTTAACTGTAGTGGCCATGTGGTTTTTGGCTTAAGAGGTGTATAGTTGTATGGTGTAATAGTACCAGTGTGTTGTATTGTTGAGTATATACCCCGTATCACGTAACGTGGCTGCTCAAGCAATGAAACAACGAAGTGGTGGCCGCCCTTGTTGACGCCTACCTCGAATTACAATATTATGGCAGTTCTCAAACGAAATACGTTTTGTATTTTGTTATCGAAACCTAAACAGGAGGTTTTATAACGAAATTTCGAATCTCAGCTGCACAGACAGATTCAGTAAGGACTATTACCTCTTAAAATTGCCACTAAATAAAGTTCGGGCCGTCCAATTGTTTGGTGTAGATGTTAGTCATTCGACAAAGTAAACTTACAAATCATTTGAAAGTTTTATTGCCTGAGCCGCCACTATAGGTGGTACGGATTTTAGGTATTATATTTGATAGATTACGACGTTTTACGGAATTCCCCGAATGAAGGCCACACACATACAGCATACATGACAATGCACACATACACACAGTTAATATGTTAATGGTCCTTTAAAAGATAAAAATTGTTATTTATATGTAAGTGTACTTATGCAGGACGGATATTCAAGCTCATGGCACATCAGTGCGTGTAAAATAATATAAAAGATGAAAATAACATATATATTACTTGTGCACAATAAAATAGTCATATTATCACGTTACGCATGTATCACAATGTGTATCACAGTGATTTAAATTTCCTTTTTAACTGTGTACATTGCTTAATAGTATTTTTCTGTGCGCAATTATAATTATTTACATTACAATTCAGAGAGTAGCTTTCATGTACATACACTTATATTTTAAAGGAACACCTTTCTCGTTTTGTCTTTTCTAAATTCATTTATTATTACTGTCTTTTATGTATATATTATAAGATGTGCAGTAATAATGATACGCACGTTCGCGCTGGCGCTCTTCAGTATTTATGCAATTTGTGTATCACGTCTATATTGTAGCTGTAGTACTGCATGTGTTCTTATTCTTAGTGTTTTTAGCCCTTCTTTTATATTTTTAGAAATTGGATGATATTCCGTGCTACTGGTTCGCGCCCTGGTGTTCTTTCGTTTAGCGTTGGCTAATGTTCACTAATAAATTCAATGAATAGGTAGCTTTTGGCATTATTCCAATTTGAATATTGAAGTTAAATAAAATTTAAATAATGGGAGAAGAGAGTAGAGAAAAGTTGTAAATATTATGGCTTGGAGCGTAAAGTTAATGTTAATATTAGTTTTATTTGTGTTATTGCCAGCCAACTTGTGTGTGAACCAAGGTTTGTAATTTTGATTTCACTTTTGATAAATATTAATTTTGAAATGCAAATGTTTATAATATTTTTGTTTATTTCAGCATCATTTTATGGAAACAGTTTTATTTCAATACCCTTAAAAGAAGCTAAAGGATCCACTGATATACATTTTAAATTTCGAACACATCTTTCGAATGCACTAATTATATTAGTGGCTGGAGTGACTGATTACTGTATTGTAAGATTAGACAATACAAGATTAAAAATTAATATCAATCTTGGATCTGGTGAATATGAAGTCTCTTCATCTAGTTCAAAGTTAAATGATTTTAAATGGCATAAAGTCCACATAAGTAGAGCAGAGGCAAATTTAACACTTATAGTGGATAATAAATTTACAACGTGAGTAAAATTTATGTTTATGATAAATAAAAGTAAATGCTTTTGAAACTCCTAATTTTAGGAAGCATTTACCAGGAAAATTCTTTGAACTAAACATACATTACGGTTTGTTTGTTGGAGGGCATGGTAATTTCTCCGATTTATTTTTTGGGCATATAGGAAATTTTAGAGGATGTTTAGCAGATATTGTATACAATGGAATTGGAGTTTTGGATTTTGCTAGACACAGACAACCTCAATCGATTGTTCAAGGTATTACATGGAACTGTGCAGCTGAATTTGATGCACATGTAAATCAGCCTATTAGTTTTGTGGAGGACAAAAGTTTTTTTGTTATATCACAAGAAAATTTTAAGAATTTAAAATGGCAGTTGGAATTGAAAACAATAGCAGAATATAGTATAGTAATGTACAATCAAGGATCTCTTTCCAAACAGGATTATTTTTCCATGGAAATATGGAAAGGCAAATTTAAAGTAACATTAAAATTTGGAGAAAAAGTAACAGAAGTATTGAATAATGAATTCATAGCAGATGGAAAGTGGCATAAGATTTTTGTTCAATTTTTATCATCTTCTGTTGATGTTATTGTAGATTCAATAACTAAAAGTATTAAAATGACAAAAACCCATGTTGTGAGTTTACATGACTTGTTTTATATTGGTGGTATTGAAGCAAGTAAAAGAGGACGTGCTATGGCAAAAGGTTTAAAGCAATCTGATATACATTTCAAAGGGTGCATGCAGCACTTAAAGATTGGTGAAAGAATGATTGGATTAAAAGATGCAGTTATTACAGAAGGACTATTGCCAAGTTGTGTTTGGCAATATCCATGCCTAACTTGGCCATGCAAGAATAAAGAAGCTTCTTGCATTCAAAAGGGACTAGATTCATATCAATGCATTTGTAAAAACTTAACTTGTGTTTCAACTGATGTTTCTACATCATCAAAGGGAACATCAGCAGTTGATCTAGAAATTTTAACAGTGAAAACTTTAGAAGTTGTTGAAGGTCAAAGTGGCCTAATTACACCTAACAATTTGCATTTAAATTTGGATTATCCTAAATATGGAATTGCTGATTCTGGAATTGTTTTTCATATATTCCAATTTCCTGAACATGGAACTATTAAAATCAATGTTTGGCCTGAAGAGAAAGGTAGCTTCACATTTCACGATTTATCTAAAGATAAAGTACATTATGTTCATGATGGTTCCGAACATCACATGGACAGTATAGTGATGGATCTCCAGTTCAATTCAAAAGAGAATTTTATTTTACCGGCACATCTTCAAGGAAATTTTAAATTTACGCTTACAGTTCATGTTCAACCAAAGAATGATCCTCCTGAGCTAAATATTCCAGTTTCAGTAACTTTGAGAGTAGCACAAGTGAGTACCGAATTTATTTGCTTGTAAAGCATGAACTATTTTTGCATAGTAATCTACGTCGTGCATTTCTTTTTATTTAAACTGATAATAAAGTTGTGAAGTAGTTCTGATAAAACTAACTTTTTAAACTAAATAGAACAAATAAACTTTCATATTCACATAATTCATATCACTGTAAGAAGTTATTGTTAGAACAAACTAAATGAAGTACATATTTTTTTTATCAGATAATATTTATTGTGTTGGTGTATGTACTTTTTTTTATTCTTATTTTTATTTGATTCAGCTTGTTAGGTGAATGTCACTCTAATAATGGCATGCTTAACCAATTATAAGGCAAGGTAAGACCGACGCATATTTTGTATTAAAAGTTTACTTTTATATATGAATATATATATTTTTCTAATTTAGGGAAAGAAAAAAACAATTACGAAAGATACATTGCAAGCAGTCGATTCTGACACACCTCCAGAGCAGTTGGTTTTTAAAGTTATCGATTCAGTCTTGGGTCATTTTGAAGACGCCGATAAGACTAACGTTCCAATATATTCCTTTACACAAAAAGACATAAATGACAACAAAATAGTGTTCGTCCATAACAGTTCGTCGTCATTAAATAATTCCTACATTTCCTTACAAGTTTCTGATGGCATTGAAGAAAGTAAAATTGCTAAATTAAGGGTTTCTGCTTATCAGCAAATGTGGTGGTTACAAAATAATACGGGATTATTTTTAACTCATGAATCTTTTGGAGTTATTACCCCATTTAATTTAAGTTTTATTTCAAATGATCCTACTGCTTCTGAAAAAATTGAGTACTATATTGTACAATCACCTCAGTTTGGTCTTGTCGAACTGGAAAAAGACATTGGCGTTTGGGTGAACACAAGTACGTTTTCTAGTGAGCATCTACAGTTACACAGAGTTAGGTACAGACATAGAAATGGTTTAGCCAAATTCGATGAATTTCAGGTAAACGAATTGTTTGTATCTTTTTTTGCTTAGTACTGTAACTTTTTATATTTTAGTTTAAAACGTCGTTAAATTCAACAGCAGTTTACTCATTCCGAATAACGTTTATCAAATGTACAGTTATTAATATAAATAACGAACCGTTATCGCTTAACACCTCTCAGGGATTGCTGACAGCAAGTCAAATAAATTATCAAACGAGTCCTGTGTTGTTGCCATCAACATCTATTACGTTTTTAATAACTGGTTATCCTCAGTATGGTTTTCTATTATCTTCTGCATCAAAATATCGAATGCGAATTGGCGATACATTCAATCAAGCTGATATTAATTTTAAAAACATTCAGTATAACACATATAAAAAGGCATATTCGTATTTTAATGATTATCTTTTTTTTAATGTTATGGCTCCAGGATGCGACAATATAACTGGCAATATTAGCATAATTTATAAACCAAGCAAAGAAATTTTGTCACAAATCCGTGCCATTTTAGAACCAATTACTGTTGAAGAAGGGGCCAAAGCTAACATACCCTTGGAAAAATTTCATTTGTTGAGTAATATTTTTACCAGCCTTATTTTTAATGTAACAAAGAAACCAAGTCATGGAATGCTCCAAATAAATGGCAAAGAGTCATTAAGAAACGATACTAATTACTTTACAATATCTGAACTAGAAACAGACGCTTTATTTTATATTCATGACGACTCTGAAAGTATATCGGACTATTTCAGTTTCATGGCTTTAGCTCCCAGAGAAAATTTTCAATATGTTAATAATTATACAATTATTATCGCACTTAAAAACGACAATAGTCCTAAACGAGCAATTGAAAAAGTTTTCAACGTGGTAATTGGTGGCGAGAAATTAATTACTGGAAACGATATGCGATATGATGATGCAGATATAAACACCAAGCCGTCTGACATTGTTTATTCATGTCGTGAAATCCCTAATGGCGAAATAATTAGTTTGAAAAATGGCAGTACAAAAGCTACAGAATTTACCCAGCAAGATCTGAATAACGGTCATATACTTTTTAAACATAAAGGCCCCGAATACGGAAAAATAAAATTATGGATTACTGACGGTCAATTCTACGTAAATGGAATTTTAGAAGTGAAAGCATCTGCCCCTTTTATACGCGTCTTTACCGCGAAAAAGTTGATTGTCCAGCAAGCAAGTACAACTCCGATAACAGAAGAAAATTTATCATTTTCGACAAATTTATATGCATCAGAGAAAGATGTTATATACGAAGTAATGAACAAACCAAATTACGGAAAAATTTCTCTTAAATATGACGACAAAGTAATTTTGCTCGGTTTTCTGTTTTCTTTTTACTGTTTTATTTTATTTTTAAGGAAATCCAATCGTTTTCACAAGAGCAAATTAATAAGGGAGAAATTTATTACGTTCATGATTTTACGAAAACGAACGCAGACGAGTTAAAGTTGCGGGTACGCTGTTACGATGCTGTTAGTATGGCTCAAATAAACATATGGATATTACCAGCATCTTATTGGGAACCTTTAGTGATTAAAACTTTAAATGTTCTCTATGTAGAAGAATCAACTAGTGCGTTGATTGATAAAAATATAATGGAGGTAAAGTAAGCAGGAGAATACTACTAGAACATATTTAAATTAATAAATTTTAAGGTGTTCCAAGCTGATGTACCTGCAGGTGCTCTAACGTACCACATCACGAAAAATGCAAACAATGGCTATTTAACTGTACTTCCTAATTTTAATAACTTGGAAGATAAACCAACAAACATACAGAGATTCACTCAAGCGTTACTTAACGAAAGGAGACTTTTGTATATACAATCCGCTGCTAACAAAACGGAAGATAAAATAATTTTTAACGTTACCAACGGATTGGTGTGGTTAAATGGATTAGAATTGAAAATTGCCATTATACCAGAATATATTTATTTGAAGAGTAATGTTTTAAACGTTAACGAAGGAAGAGTAGCACCTATTACCGTCGATAACTTAATTGTTTCCACGGAATATTACCGAGATAAAATAACGAAATATAAAGTTATTATGCAACCCAAATTTGGTTGCTTGGTTGTAGTAAAAAATTGCAATATAACTGAATTTTCTCACAGTCAGTTACTAGATGAAGTAGTAGAATATCAGCATGATGATTCTGAGAATTTGAATGACGAAGTGTCGATAATTGCAGTGGCAGGGGTTAAGGAAAGTGTTCCTGTATCAATTAAAATAAATATAACACCCGTTAACGACAATTTTCCTAGGATAATTAACAACACAGGTGCTACCATTTGGGAAGGGAGTACATTAATAATTAACAACTCCATGCTTGGTAAGTTGAGTTACTTAAATATATTTGTATTAGAGAATATCTGCTATATTATGTTTTAATTTAAAGCTGCAGTTGACGACGATAGACCACAAGAAACTCTGCGATATCAGGTGATAGGCTGCTGGTGGGGAAATATATCTTTAGTTTCAGACCCCGATACCATTTTGCAGTTTTTTACTCAAGATTTTATTAACAAACAATTAGTTGCATTTCGTCATAAAAGTAAGCAAATGTAGCATTCTCCTTTCTGATAAACAATAGTGAATTTTTTTTTTTATGCAGATGGCACAGAAACTAAATTCACCTTTACTGTGACTGATGGCGTTCATACAAGTCAAGAATATGCCTTTTACATAAACACCAAACCTGTTGAGTTACATTTGGTTTCAAAGTTAGCTTTACATATTTTTCCACTTCAAAAAAAACTTATAAGGCCCCATCACCTTCTAGCAATTGTTTCGGATTTTGGTAGGCCTGTGTTTTATGAAATTGTGAAACCTCCCACTTTGGGGCGACTGATAATGTACTATAACGATACGAACGTCCTTAAAGTTATAAACAGTTTTACACAAGAAGACGTTAATAATAGTCGCGTGTTTTATGAGCACACTCATCCATTTTTGGATCTTTATGCAAACGATTCTTTCATTTTTAACGTTAAATCTTACTTGGCAACTACTCTATTAATGAATGTAAGTTTTTATGATCAAAAATATGTTATTAGATGACAGCAATGTAATAGTTAATCATTACAATTTTAGGAATTTAAGATAGATATATCGGTGTCTTCAGGTGGTTTGGGTGCATATATTGATGTTCCAGAAATAATAGTTGAAGAAGGTGCAATGACGAATATTAAAATTAATTTATCAAAAATAATGACATTTTTGGAAAGTCATGCAGGATTAAGATCACCAGTTATTCATGCCAGTATAACACGTCCGCAATTTGGTTACGTATTTTTGAAACATAATCCAAACTTAACTACCTTTACAAGAGAACAGCTTGAGTCTGGCCACTTGTATTACCAACACGATCATTCAGATTCATTTCTTGACAGCATATATTTATCCTTGTACTTAATACCTGGCTACATATTGCTCACTAATATTTCAATCCCGATTAAGATAAACCCTATAAACGATCAGCCGTTTATTTTAATTACTCCTACACCCCACTTATTAGTTGTACAAGGTGAAAATTATACAATAACAAAGAACGACTTGTTAACAGAAGATAAGGATACATTTCCCCAAGATATACGGTAAGTACTACATAAAAAATTTTTTGTTTTTCTTAATTTTTTCTCGTTTGTTTATGTTGTTAGGTATGATGTTATATCGGGACCGTCAGAGGGACAGTTACTTCTTTTGCCCGAGTTGATTACAGTTAATCAGTTTTCTCAACAAGATGTTAATTTAATGAAAGTAATTTATAGACATAATGGTACATCGTTAACGGATAGTTTCCATTTAAGGGTTTGGGACGGAAAATTTAGGCCAGAATACACTATTTTTAACATCCAAATAATTCCAATTAATATGAACGTGTCTGCTGGACTGCCTGCTTTTCTCCAGCAGGGTTTAAACGTGGTTTTACTTTCTGAAAAACTTTTTTTTATTGAAACGAACACTGATAAAAGAAAAATGGAGTTTTTGGTACGGGAATTACCAAAACATGGAATTTTATATGTGAAAGATAGCCATGCTAATTCTTTTACGTATACGGATCTAGAGAGTGGAAACGTTATGTATATGCAAACGGATATGACTACAGCAAACGACAGTTTTACTGTTTTTGCTGGAATATCGATAGGAAACGTTTCTCTAGGGAGCGAAGTTCAAGTATTTGTTAAAGTACAACCACTAATGCAAATAAGCGATTTTACTGCAATCGTTGGAAAAAGAAACCGCATAACGACTCGAATATTAGATGCAACTCCTTTGGCGAAAATGACAAATAGTAATCCACGGTATACGATCGTCAAATTTCCGTTACATGGACAAATAAGGAAAATAATTCGAAGTTCTGGAGAAAAAAGGAATGTTTTAGATTCAGTTGTAAACAGTTTTAGTCATGAAGAAGTGCAAAGTGGCCTTATTTACTTAGTCGTTAAAAACATACAAATTGGATGGGATGGCTTACAAGATAAGTTAGAATTTATCCTCGCTGCTGGCATATTCCAACCTGCTGTAGGGTCGTTAAAAATTTTAATCAAAACGTCATCTTACTCTGTATCATCCACTATTCCCGGTCCCAATGACCCCGAAGAACATGAAGGTCCCATATACATTTCAAGTCCAAATATAACACGAGATTACTTTTTAGTGGGTAAATTATACAATTGACAAACGTATAATGACGTATGAGTACATTATTTGTTTTGTTTGCAGTTAGTATGGTTGTTGGAGTGGTAATATTAGGTATTGCAGTTATAATAATAATAAAGTGTAGAGGCTTAGAAGGAGGAACTCAAAGTAAAGAGGAACAGGCTTTACAACCCGTTTCATTGCCACGTCCACCGGAACGATTGATAAGCTCATCGACCTCTGTAAAACAGCACAACTTGGAAGGTTTTGTTTCCATAGTACCCACAACTTTGCCACATTGTAAAGTGACTCCTTTGATAAAAGACGAATTGGAAACTCGTGCTCATTACCCGTATGGAATAGAGGAGCCAATAGATGATTGGAGCAGTTGTGATGCATCAGATCCATCAGGCCCTGCACGAAGTAACATTATGCTGCGGAGAAATCAATATTGGGTTTGAACAATTTATACAACATGATATCTGATTTTGTACATTTTTCTTCGATTATACTTTAATTCATTTCATACTTTTTTATAACTGCCATAAAGTCGATTAATAAATGAAATAAAAGTTTTTATGGCGCCTTCCTTCTTTGTACCAAGATAAGGTCAACACCATAATTATTAATCACACGAAAAAACAATTAGCAGATGAAAAGTGTTGATTATTTTAGCAGACTCTGATGCCTGTAATTTATTTCAATATTTTATAATACAAAACGAATATATTAATATCTGCCTACATATAAAGTTGTGTTCAATAAAAAACTAAACGTCGCAATAAATACCTTTTATAATTATGTATATCTACCAGCATTTCTTTTGCAGATTAAAAATAAAAACAATTGTATCAACACAACAAAAAATAAATTATATCGTAACCACTGCTAATTCTAATTTTGCACAAAGAGAAATTTTCATCATTAATTCATTACACCTATTATAAAAGAGCTATAAATATAGTAACTTTTGTTAAGGTACCATAAGATTTTCACTTTTAAATGCATCATATTTTACACTATGAGACAATTGCATAAATGAATGCATTATGATTAAGTTTATTTACAAAACATATCCTAATAAAATTACAACTGATTCTTTTTGCAGTCATGAACTAAGAAACATGTTTGTGCTGATGCTATAATTTATGATTGCTGGTTAACCATGTAAGACCTTCATACAAACCATCCCCAGTAGTAGCACATGCTGGTTGAACATACCAATTACGATCACGTATACGAGTAAGGCCTAATTTCTCCTGTATTTCGTGGGGTTTCATGGCTTCTGGAAGGTCTTGCTTATTGGCAAATATAAGAATGATGGCATCTCGCATTTCTCGGTCATTTATGATTCGATGTAATTCCTGTCTAGCTTCGTCTATACGATCACGATCGGCACAATCCACTACAAATATTAAACCTTGCGTTCCTGTGTAATAATGGCGCCACAGGGGTCGAATTTTATCTTGTCCCCCCACATCCCACACATTGAACTTAACATTTTTATAAGTCACTGTTTCTACGTTAAATCCAACTGTTGGGATAGTTGTAACCGACTGTCCTAATTTCAATTTATATAAAATTGTAGTTTTTCCGGCTGCATCAAGTCCTAGCATTAAGATTCTCATCTCTTTATTACCAAAAATTTTAGAAAGCAATTTGCCCATGATGTTGGACAAATTACACTTTTAACTCTAGAAAAATAGAAAAATTCACAATTTAACTATCTCTGTAAAAATCACTTACATGCATTTTTAAGCTGTTTTTATAAATTTTACATGTAACATAAAAATGGCAATTTACAGCCGCCGTCGCCACCTCAGATAGGCGTGTATAGAAGCATATAGAAAGATAGGAACTCCTATGGTAATCGGTGAGCCACTTAAACGGAAGAATATTAATAATTTGCCAATGTTCTCAATAAATAAATCTTTTATCTTTATCAAATTATGTATCATTAGGCACTTAAGAAATATTTCCATTTTAATAATTAAGGCTTATTTTAAATAAACACATTACCTACTAACTACAACAGTTCCACTTCCACATCAAATCTAACAGTAGTGCCGTTAACTCATCTCTAGATACAACAAGTGCTGTCTAGAAACTCTATAGTTGATACGATTGACAGGCTGATGCAGAATGACAGTCTATTGTTTTTTCTTGGCTGTGGTTTTCAATGCTAGCTGTTTTATATACAGGTTTACAATATAATAAACCAGTACCTAATTAATAAAATTATTTTATAGGGAATGATTATTCCATTTGTAAATACCAAATAATAGGGAGTGATTTCAGAGTTAATGTAAAAGTAGACATTACGGTTTGTAATATATTTAGTTCTCTAAAATTTTCGTTTACTCACGTTGAATATGGCCGGTGGTATTTATTCTCGTTAAAGACTATTTTTTACACACAGGATTGGATAGAAAATTACATTACATTTGCTTTTTAGTGTGTGTTTAAAACAAGCAATTACAGAATGGCTAGTGTGTCTTATCAAATTGCAAATCTTCTGGAGAAGGTTGTTTGTAAAAGTAATATTTATTCCATTACTTTAATACATACGTGTTTTTATTGTAGATGCAGTCTTCTGATAAAGACTTTCGATTTATGGCTACAAACGATTTAATGACAGAACTTCAGAAGGATAGTATTAAGTTAGATGATGATTCTGAACGTAAAGTTGTTAGAATGCTACTTAAACTTCTTGAAGATAAAAATGGAGAAGTGCAGAATTTAGCTGTTAAATGGTATTAACTTGTTTGAAGTTATTTTCAGTATTTTAATATATTAATTTACAGTTTAGGTCCTTTGGTTAATAAAGTCAAAGAATATCAAGTAGAAACTATTGTAGAAGCTCTTTGTTCAAATATGATTTCGGATAAAGAACAATTGAGAGATATATCAAGCATTGGACTTAAAACAGTTATTTCTGAATTACCTCAAGCTCCTGGTGGATTATCAAGCAACATTTGTAAAAGAATAACGGGACATTTAACAACAGCAATTGAAAGGGTATGCATAATTTAGTTTTTATTTGTTTCCACCAACTAATATAGTTAGGTAAATAATGTAGACTTTATAGACTTATACATGTTTTCTTGTGTATATATATATATTACTTTTTAGGAAGATGTCTCAGTACAGTTGGAAGCACTAGACATAGTTGCAGATTTATTGTTTAGATTTGGAAGTGTTTTGTCATCATTTCATCTTACATTAATCAATGCTCTTTTACCACAATTAAGTTCATCAAGACCAGCAGTTAGGAAACGTACTATAGTAGCACTAAGTAACTTAGTTTTGTCTTGTAATATATCTTTATATAACAAGCTTATTGATCATCTACATGAGGGGTTATCCAAAACTGCTAGTACCACACAGACAAGAACAAATATTCAGTGCCTAGCTGCAGTTTGGTATGTAAAAATTTGCATGTTTTTTTTTAATAATTTATATTTTAAGAATTATGTACTATTCAAAATATTTGATTGATAATTATTAAATATGTCTTAGTCGACAGTCTGGTCATAGGTTTGGAGAACATATTGAAAGGTTTGTGCCACTTCTAATTGAAACATTTAGCTATGAAGAAGACGATGAACTACGTGAGTTTTGTTTACAGGCTTTTGAATCTTTTGTTCAAAGATGTCCAAAAGAAATTACTTGTCACATAGGCAATGTAAGTTTAAGACGCAAAATTTTTATTTTATATATTAATTGGATAACATGTATTAATATGTTGTTATTATCCCTTCAGATAACAAAACTTTGTGTAGAATTTATGACTTATGATCCAAATTATAATTATGATGAGGATGATGATGTACAAGATAAAGGAATGGATACAGTTGAAGAATATGATGAGGATGAGGAAAATGACGAATATAGCGACGATGACGACATGAGCTGGAAAGTTAGAAGGTCTGCTGCTAAATGTTTGGAGTCTATTATTTCTACAAGGCATGAGTTGTTATCTGAATTCTACAAATATCTTTCTCCTGCATTAATAAGTAGATTTAAAGGTAAATTTTATTTATTACCCACAGTATCTTAATGACATTGTTTAAACCGTTGTTTACTTTTCTGTTTAGAAAGGGAAGAAAACGTTAAGTCCGATATATTTCATGCTTATATTGCCTTACTTAAACAGACGAGACCTAGCGTTTCTTTAAACGCAGATCCAAATTTGATGGAACAAGAGGAAGCTCCTGCATGTCTTCTACAGCAGCAAGTTCCACTCATTGTTAAAGGATTGCAGCAACAAATGAAAGAAAAGAGTATTAAAACTCGTCAAGATTGTTTTCAACTACTCAAAGAACTGTGCAATGTACTTCCTGGAGCCTTAACGAACCATATAGGCGATTTAATATCTGGAATTCAATATTCGTTAGGCGAGAAGAATTCCAGCAGCAATATGAAAATTGACGCTCTAGTATTTATTCATTGCCTCTTAGTAACTCACCCTCCAGAAGTATTTCATCCACATATGGCAGTTCTATTACCTCCTGTAATTAACGCAGTTGGCGACAGTTTTTATAAAATAACCGCCGAAGCATTACTAGTTTTACAAGAACTTGTAAAAGTGATTCGCCCTATTGGTACATCAGTCACCTTCAATTTTCGACCATATGCTCATGAAATTTACAATTGTACACTTGTAAGATTGCGCGCTTCTGATATAGATCAGGAAGTAAAAGAGAGGGCTATTTCTACCATGGGTCAGATAGTTTGTAATTTGGGCGATGTCTTACAATACGAACTTCCCGTCTGTTTACCCATTTTTCTAGATCGACTGAGAAATGAAATCACTCGTCTTACGACTGTCAAGGCCTTAACTAAAATTGCAAGGTCTGATTTGAAAATTGATCTACCTATAATGGTGATTACTTGTTTAATTTTTATCAAAACGTTTATACTTTATATTTTCTTTTTAGAACGAAGCCGTTCCGATTCTCGGTTCTTTTCTTCGGAAAAATCAGCGAGCTTTGAAATTAAGCACACTTTTGCTTTTGGATTGCCTCATAAAAAATTATCATAATTATATGTATGTAGATTTATTACAGTATGTGATAACCGAACTGCCACCGTTATTAGATGAGTCGGATCTTCATATTGCCCAGTGGACTTTAATTATTCTTAAATCAATAGCCATTCGACATCCCGGTGCTCTGCAAGATATATCCAAAAATATACTACCACAGATTATGAATCTAGTAAAATCACCATTACTTCAAGGTAAAAAAAAATATTGATTGATTTAAAGTAGTGATAATAATTTTATGTTTACAATTACAGGAGCTGCTCTGGTTTCATTGCTTGAGTTTTTCCAACAACTTGTTTTGTGTAATCTCCCAGGCTTGGGTTTCAAAGATCTTCTAGAGATTATGTTGGCCCCTGTCCAGAATATTCAAAATAATCAGGGAAACCTTCACAAGCAGGCTTTCTACTCTCTTGCCAAGTGTGTGGCATCTATTACAGTAATTTGTCCACAAGAGGCTTTATCTGTTGTAAATCATTTTATTCAAGAGATACAAAGTGCCCAAAGTGACTCTCAGATGATTTTTGCTTTACTTGTTATTGGCGAAATCGGTCGTAAAGTGTAAATGATCAGTTGGTAAAGTTTTATTTTTATTTATACTAATTTTGTATTATTTATTTTAGAGATCTTACTTCTGTTTCAAATTTGAAACACGTTATTTTGCAAGCTTTCTCAGCAGTTTCTGAAGAAGTTAAGTCTGCTGCCAGTTATGCTTTAGGCAGTATTGCTATTGGAAATTTAAAACAGTTTCTTATACCATTTATTCTTCAAGAAATTGATCAACAACCTAGAAGACAGTATCTCTTACTACATTCTCTTAAAGAGGTAATACTTTCATCCATAACGAAATATCTTAGTTATTAAATCATTATTATTTTGAGTAGGCATCATTTCCTACGTACTTTGTACTCTCATTTTATTTTATATTTAAATTTTCGTTAAAGGTGATAACATGTTTATCTGCATCTGAAGAAGGCATTCAGGAAATATTACCGTTTGTGCCTGCAATTTGGCAGCAACTCTTCTGCCATTGTGAGTGTAGCGAGGAGGGTACTCGTAATGTTGTTGCTGAGTGTTTAGGAAAACTAACATTGATAGATCCTGTTAAGTTATTACCACAGTTACAAGTTTCGCTCGAATCATCCTCACCATTAATGCGTACTACTGTCGTAACTGCCGTTAAATTTACTATCTCTGATCAGGTAACTGTTAAAAAAACAAATTCAATAAATGTTATTTTATATACATTTTAGCCCCAAGCCATCGATCCTCTTTTACGTCAGTGTATAGGACAATTTGTTTTGAGTACTTTACAAGATGATGATCTTAACGTCCGACGCGTTGCTTTGGTTGCATTTAATTCAGCAGCTCATAACAAACCATCATTAATACGAGATCTTTTGGATACAATTTTACCGCAACTCTATAGAGAAACAAAAATTAAGGTAATCTTTTCCTATAGTCCAATTTTTTTGCTTACCCACTTTTGTAATACCTATTTTAAATTTTTATAGAAAGAATTAATAAGAGAAGTTGAAATGGGACCGTTTAAACATACAGTTGATGACGGTCTAGATATTAGAAAGGCTGCTTTTGAATGTATGTATACCCTTCTTGACTCTTGTTTGGACAGGATCGATATATTCGAATTTTTAAATCACGTTGAAGGAGGACTCAAAGATCATTACGACATTAAAATGTTAACATATCTTATGGTCACTCGACTTTCGCAAATTTGCCCTGGTGCTGTTTTACAGAGTATAAATAGACTTATACTACAATAAGAACCCTTATTTTACATTTGATTTTTACAGGATTAGAAAGGCTGATCGAACCATTAAAGGTTACTTGTACAATGAAAGTAAAAGCAAACTCGGTAAAACAAGAATATGAGAAACAAGACGAGCTGAAAAGGTCGGCTATGAGAGCGGTATCTGCTTTATTGACAATCGATGATGCCGGTAACTTATCTGTGTTAAAACTTATCAGCCTTTTCAGGTTTTTTTGTATAATTTATTTTTTTTTAGATAAAAATCCGTCTCTCAACGAGTTTGTACAGCAGATTAAAAATTCTCCCGATCTTTTAGCAATTTTTGAATCAGTTCAGAAAGATTCCAGCAGTTCCCATAATGAGCATTTCCCAATGGATCAGAGTTAAAATTTATCAGTTGTTTTGCGTGTGAAAATTATTCATGTTCTTTGTTTAATAACGGTGTATTAAAACCTTACGAAATAAAAAGTCGCAGTTCTTGGCAACTGTATAATGTGTTATTAGTTACTATTACTATTTTCTGTAATATTACATAGCTCAACCTTCTAGAACTCATAAATTATTAATAAAATAAGTAATTAATATTCTTATTGTTAGGCTGGCTATAGAATGTAAAATCTTTTTTTATTATTTTAAATACAATTAAAAGAAAACAATAAAATAAAATAAAAGTATGGATATAACAGGCTTATGTGAAAAAAGTTTGCTATAATTATCAGAACAAAGAACTGTTAAATTATATGAAAAGTGTAATAGTTAATTTCTATAAAATTTCAAAGTATATTATTTTTAATGAATAGGATCCTTCTGAAAATGAATTAATTCTTATAAAAAAAGTGACATCAACATTTGAAAAGTAACATCGTTAATACTATTTTATTTTTCTTTTTGCCTATGCAACCCATTTCACAGAACAAACAGGATATTGTATACGTGGCAACTGTTTGAATTTAATATGTAACATGGTTACCAGTTTGTGACAGTTGATTACAAAAACCAATGTTTTGTTAGTAAATGTGGTAATCTAAAATTAGATAATTTTATTCTTAAATTATCTTATGCTTTCAATTCTACACAGTAATAACTACAGTTTTTTTGTAGGTGCTGTTTGTTAGTGATGATTCAGTCCAGTCCTAGTCCATGTCCAGCCTGACAGTAGTGAGGTGTCAAAACAAAACAAATAAAATTAAATATACATAAAGAAATAAATATAATATATCATTAAGGAAATGATAACTTCCTAATTTAAACAAAAAAAATGTTGAATCGTTTTAAGAACGCTGTTATTGGTGCCGTAGGTGGCTTTGAAACAAATGGTTTAGCTCTAAACCAAGATCTCCATCAAAGAAGTAGTTTATCACCGAAATTTCCTTATGCTCGACCACACTTTTTAGAATTAGATTGGGAACAGATGCAGATTTCAGCTGATCACAGGTTACGCCCTATAATTCATCCAAGTCAATCGCTAGCCTTTAATACAGGTTATGCAGAATGCATTAATGCAGGCAAATCAAAATGGAATGAAGATCAGGCAGTACTTCAGCAAGGTGTACTAACTAAATTAGAATTAGTGGAGAACTCTCCACCAGTAAAGTATGACATACCGTATTCTTACTATGGCATATTTGATGGGCATGCTGGTGTTGGTGCTGCATTGTGTGCAGCCAATCAGTTACACCATATTTTGCATGTAAGTTTTGTAATTAACTTTCTTAATATTAGGTAATACATTAATTTTTTTAAGGAAAAGCTAGTGGATGCTCAAGATGATATATGGCAAGATTTTATAGGCAAAACTGTTTCTAAGCCACGTGATTTGTTAATTATAGGAGCTTTAGAATCAGGGTTTAGAGAAATGGTATGTTTTATATCCAACGTCTGTTTATAATATTAATTTATCATCTTTGAAGGATCAGCTCATTGCTGAAGATAGAAATAAATACCAAAGTGCTGGAGGTTGCACTGCTTTAGTTGCTTTGTTTATACTGGGCAAGCTGTATGTTGCAAATGCTGGAGACTCTAGGGCAGTTATATGTAGCACTAATAAAATAATACCCATGTCTATGGATTTTACACCTGAAAACGAAAGAGATCGTATAAGACAACTTGCAGAAGAACAGCCTGCTCTGTTAGGTATTACAAAAACAAATATTTCAATTTTTCATTTCTAATATAACTTATTATTGTTGAAGGGAAGGAATTTACTTTTCGTGAATACATTTGTCAACCAAAATCTGTCGATTTAGGAAAACCTATAATGTACAGAGATGCTCACATGAAAGGATGGGCTTACAAAACATTACAGACAGAAGACTTGAAGATGCCTGTCATAACAGGGCAAGGCAAAAGGGTACACAATTTTCTTTTGTTTTCAATTAAAGTAGTTGTGATGGAATTATTGATCACGTAAAATTAAAAATTTAAGAACTAGTTTATAGCTTAAAATAAGTACTGATATAAATAATTCTTCTTTTGAGCTTTATTATTATTTTTTTGTAACTATTATAACTATTAATGCTTGATGGTAATGTGAATTCTCAAATTTTTAATTTTTATTGGTTTATTATATGTACTACATTGATATATGACGTGTTTAGCAGTAAATTAAAAGTTATATGTATTTACTTATAGATACAAAAATATTGAAAGGCTAATTCTTTTAAAAATTATTGTAGAGTAGAGTAATGGGTACAATTGGCGTTACAAGAGGCTTTGGAGATCATGATCTTCTTGCAGTTCATCAGAAAACCCCTATAAAACCATTTCTATCTCCACATCCTGAAGTACAAGTTCATAAATTAATAGACGTGACGGAGAAAGACGTTTTAGTAATGGGTACTGATGGTTTATGGGATGTAGTGAGTTGTTCGAAAGCAGCAGAGGTAATTGGAAAACAGTTTGATTTATTTAGCCAAAAAGAACGTTATGTTAGTGCTGCTACTTGTTTGGTTGGTTCTGCCAGAGGAATATTAGTGAATGATCATTCTTGGCAGCTAAAAAATGAAAAACCAGCCTCAGTGGACGATATTTCAGTGTTTGTTATACCCCTTTTTCCATACAGAGACGCATATTTGGAATTTAAAAGTAAATACACTGATGTTGATTTATAAATTTATACCTAATACAATTTTCAACTATTGTTAAATACGTACTTTCGACTTATTTGTAATTATTGACAAGATGTGATGAGGTAGAAAGCAGTTTATGTGCAATAATGTGTATCGAAATCGATCCATTCCATATTTAATGATTTTTTCAACTTAATAATTTGTTTTAAAATTAATTATAGATAGAAAAATATTATTTTATAAATAATAATGGACTTATAAGTCCATGGGTAATGTGTTTTTTTTATATTGCACATTAGTTGAAACAGTTGTACATTTCCTAATTAGAGATGTATAAAAGTACCTAAGAAAAGTTTATAGCATTTATGACGTTTTATGTTACTCTTTTTTTAAGTAATTTGTGTACGTTTGTCTTTTTGAATGTTTAGTTATTAACAGAAATGCCTACAATTTTAATGTTAAGTAAAGAACCAATTCACAAAAGCATTGTAAATCAATTTCAATTATGTTTTCATTTGTCAGGAAAAAAAATGGATAATAATTATTGTTGATGCCTATTCACACCCCAAATAGATATGTAAATTTGTTCAAGTTAAAAAAAGGTTTGAATTGGTACAGCTTTTCTTTATACTTTATTAACACATTTAGAAGTATTTCCAGCAGTTCCCATAATGAGCATTTCCCAATGGATCAGAGTTAAAATTTATCAGTTGTTTTGCGTGTGAAAATTATTCATGTTCTTTGTTTAATAACGGTGTATTAAAACCTTACGAAATAAAAAGTCGCAGTTCTTGGCAACTGTATAATGTGTTATTAGTTACTATTACTATTTTCTGTAATATTACATAGCTCAACCTTCTAGAACTCATAAATTATTAATAAAATAAGTAATTAATATTCTTATTGTTAGGCTGGCTATANTTTTTTAAGACTGAAACATTTCGTCCATTCCAATGTTGCTTTTTTACCGTTTAGACTCTGAATTCGTTTCATTTTGTAATTTCTGTTATAAATAAACAGAATCTTAATTTAACCGTCTTTTCTTACAAACGCAATGCATTTTGAAGATTGCATTAATAATAATAATTGTAAACAAAAAAGTAGCAATTAGCGTATAATAAAGAAAAATAATGAATTAGTAAAAAAAACGTACTTATTTAGTTTGAGTTTCTTTCATAAAATGGTAAATACGGATAAAATTAAAAAAAAATGGCAATGCTACATTGATGCACCTATGACATAAAAAAAATATAATCTTCATTTTGCCCTGTTTATGTTTTGTGCGATGAGAGATATTACCAAGGATGTATATACTTGATATAAATCAACCTATAAAAGATTTCAAGGTTGCAGTTAACCGCCATGTGACGTATATTCCGCAGATAAAAAGGAAAATACATTATAGCTCTTATTGATAAAACAGAAACTTGATACCAAGTTTATTAATAAGATCGTATATAATTACTTTTTGAATTCTTCTTCTTTTCGAGCTGTTTATGCTATCGTGATCGATGGAGTTCTCGTCTAAATTTTTTTCCTGATTACATCTTTAGAGTGGAACTTACTGACCTGCAGTTACTGACTAACCCTCAGTCATATTATCACTGACGGTGTCATTAGTAAAGAACGGCGAAGCCTGTGGAAGAAAAGATTTCCATTGACCACGGCAGACACATTAAAAAAAAATCTTTAGCCCCAAAACTGCAGTTCAAGTGCAATTGAAAAAAATGGCCACATTTCAAAATAATTTAATAAAATCAACAAAATTTGAAATAGAATAAAATTTACGAAAATAAATAATGAAATATTACAATAAAATTGTAGACATGTGGAAAACAGATTGTTAGAAAAAGCCAGGGTTGGTGTGTTCAATAACACACCGTTTGCAATATTTCTTAACAGCTCTATATCCTTCTAAAGAAATTTGACAGTCTTGGATGTTGAGCTGTTGCAATCCTCTACAGTAATACGCTACGCACTGAACACCACGATCCGTCACTAAATCACAATTTCGTAGTCCTAATTTTTTCAAATTAGGACAACATTCTGCTAAAGCCCTTAGTCCGGCGTCGCTTACGTCACACTTTCCTATATCCAGAGCTCGTAATCGTGTGCAGGATCGGGCCAGGACAGTTATGGCATCATCGGAGACCGCTTCGCAACCCCTTACATTCAAATACCGCAACTTGTAACACCTTTTCGCTATCACTTTTAGTCCTGCGTCACTCACTTGATCGCATTTTGCTACAGAGAGATAACGCAGTGTGGCACCTAATTTAGCAAGTTCATACAATCCAAAGTCTGTTATATTACAACAGTCACTAACGCTTAGTTCTCGAAGACCCGAGCAAAAACTTGGCACAAACTTTAACCCTCCATCTAAAAGAGAAAAGAAAAGAAAAAAAAACAGATAAAGTCCACCATTCGCAAACTGCTTCGTATGCTTACCTGTAATTTGAACACAACGTCTTAGGTAAAGATATGCGAGCTGTGGACAGTTTCTAACAATAACTCGAAGTCCACTGTCTTGAAGAGCAGGGCAATCAGTAAGATCTAAATACTGTATATGTAATCGTCTAGGTGGTTCAGGTCCAGCAGTTACGCTAATATAAGATATACTGATGCACCCGGTTACGTCTAAATGTTGTAAATTATGGCATCTAGTTGCTAACTCATAGAGAGCATTATTTGTAATAGCAGCACTTGCATGAATTTCAACGTGAGTTATTTCTGGACATCTACGAGCTAAAAGAATTAAGCCTTTGTCTGTTAGTTTCGCTCCATCGGAAACTCGAACTTTCTCTACACTAGGACAAGCACCAGTTCTACCTTGGCCACAAAGTTGTCTCAGAACTCCCCTAATCGCACGATCTCCATTCACGTGTTCTCCCTCTAATGTTATTGCCCGCCACAAGCAAGGAGTCCACGCTAAAATTTCAAACCTACGACACACCCTGGCACACACGCTCAGCTCTAGACTGGAAAGGAATGAGAAAATGTTAATAATCAAGTCGTCACTGAGCTGGTTGAATAGATTGCTTTTGTTTTGGAACTTCTTCCCCTTGTAGATGTTTTCATCATTCCAAGGGCTGTTACTGGTAGGGGGTCCTGGACTTGGCGTGACCAACGTGTGGTATCCTTGGTCCAGGCTTGGACTAGATTTTCCTAATATCGAAAAATTATCTAGAAGGTAATTTGTTTCTTTCGTTTGTTCTAGCGCGCGACTTTTTGTTTCTTCGTTCGTTTCAAAGTCATCGTCTTGTTCCCAATAGTTTGTACAATAGGATAATGACGAAAGTTCTATCGAGTTTGATTTGGGGAACTGTTTGCTAGGTCCGCTTCTAATTAGACCTGACAATTGTACGTTGTCCGATTGATTAGATATTCTGTCTGAAGATTTCTCTTGATAATCGTGTAAACTTTGATAATATGAGTGGCCGTATGTCAATTCGTTTTCAAGAGGCACGTGAGAGTTTCCAAAATATCTGTTACGGTTCTGTTCACCTTTTTCGTACGTGTCCGAAAACTTTGAATGATGATAGTCGAAAAGATGGTTTACAGAGTCAGAAGAGTGATCTAGAGGAGACGAAGTCCTTCCTAAATTGACTAAAGGACAAACCAGCTGCCTCGGGGATGGTCTTTCTAATAACCCCGGGGGCTGGTTCATGTTCTGCATTACCCCTAAAACAATATTTATTTACTATCTAATTATTAAACCTAAATATATTACACTTCTATAATTTATGTTTCCGTATCTATTAAATTTTAATGAATCTAATTGAAATCCGTTGTAGATGATCAATTTATATTTCTTATGGAGATTTTATATACGATTAAAGGTAAAACAATTGATTAATTAATTATCCCAGTAGAAACAAAAATTATTCACTGATTTCCCAAAAAAATTTTAGTTTCTTCCGGCGAAATACTTATAATTATTATAGAGGAATCAATTAATAATTTGCAAACAGAACTTTTGTTTCTTTTATTATTTGAATTGAGTTACAAGAACCAACTAATAGTTTTATCTTATTTAGTTAAATTATTATTAATTAATAAGGTACGCAATTGGATTCTCTTATGATTTAAATCTATAGTAATTTTAGATAAACAGTAATTATAATTTTGTTTATAAATAAATGAAAATGAGGTTTTAATCTTATCACAATAGAAGGAATTTAGTAAATTTTAAGAACATATGGAGTTACCATTTAAGGTGCCTTATATAGTCGTTGTTTTAAACTTTCTCATGATTTTGAAACAAACTTGATTTGCATATGTTTACCATTTTTGTAGTGTACGCGTGTATTTTACCAAAGGTTTTTTATTTCACGTTCCTAATTGATGCTGTACGAAACGTAAAGGAACATATTGATACCAATTTTTTTTTTTTTGTAAAAATGAAAGTAATTTCTAACTAGTTCTTGCTACGTAGGCACCACATTTAATATTTGTCATTTGCATTTGTGTATTATTAAAAAGAAGTTGAATTAAAAAAGCCCAAATAGTGACGTTAAAAAGTCAGGATGCCGTACTGACCCATCGTTGAAATCTCCAAATGTTAAGTTTGCATTATTTCATATTTGAGTTAAACAGATTGTTAGATATTCAGGTTGCAATGCATGTATGGGGCTATATAATTGTATATATCGTATATATTTATGTATATGTATATACGATCACATTCTTTTCTATGTCATATGACGATTTGCTCATTCTTTAGAAATGTCTTAAGCAACGCATTCTTTCTTATGTTGCGTTCAATGAGGCAATTCGTTTCGGCATTTATTACGTTTTCTCTATAAATTAATAAAAAATATTCCCAGAATAGATTCGTTTTAATATGCATTGCAATATTTGTGTACGAATGTAACATACACAGCCTGACAAGTATGTAGGTAAAGTTAAGGTCGACGACATTTTGACATAACTTTAAAATTTGCCCTTAACAAGCGAAGCTAAATTGAAACAAAGGGCTTACCTTGCAATTTGTCTGACTGGGCACCGGATATTCCATTTTCCGATGGAATTTTTATTTATTTGCGACAAAATTACACGAAAATATTGTAAATGTCCGGTCTCACTAGTTACTCTCGTCATCACACAACGAATACACTGCTTTGTTAGATGTAGTTGTTGCAAGCAAGTAACGTTTCTTGATTTTCCTTCGACTTCGACTATACGCTCTCCTGCGGTCGCTGACTGGTTAAAAGAGACCTCCTTACAACCAGCGACTTGTAATTTTAAAATTGAAATCATTACTGCAAATGTAGAAACAAATACGTCCTTTACAGGCCGCTCTCGTATCCTACAATTTATAAAAATATTTTTTCTTTCCTACTATTTTACACAAAATTATGCAAACAGTTTTATTCACTAATAGAATTCCATGAGAAGTATTTATTCCTAATAAAGAACGTTTTCTTCATTTATATTTCTATTTTTCATACCCACCGGAAAACTCTTTTGTACTTAAAATTATAATAAAAATCAGATAGCTTATAAATTAAAGGAAATACATATCATACACATAATAATTTTGCTTTATTAGCTTTTTAATAGTTAACATTGATTAAACTAAGTTACCTCCCTTCTATTTTGTATTAAGTGTTAACTTCTTTAACTTTACTGAAAGTAATAAAGTTGCATTTATCTATATTTTACGCTAATAAATGATTTTGTATACAGCAATTACTAATGGCATTAACATTCATCTGAAACACAGATCTAACTATTTTAATAAGGAGTTTAACATTATTAGCGTAAACTTAGATGAAAACAATGAAAAGAAGTGCTCCCAGGTGCGAACCTTGTGGAACTCCAGTTGTAATCTGTATGGCAAAAGAAGTCATACCTTTCACAGTAACCGTTAGCTGTCTATTTTCCAGAAAAGATTGAAATCATTCAAGCAAAAGATTAGAAATACCATAATGATTCAATTTTTTAATTGCCAGCTAGGACGAAACTTTATCATACGCCATTGATAAACCAGTGTAAATAACATGTAATTGATTTTTTTGGTTAATTGCCTCGATTATGAAGTTACACTGGACAACTAAATTTGTTACAGTTGAACGTGATGACAAAGTCATGCTATTCTTTGAGATAATAACATCACTAAAAAAGTTAATTATTACGTCGAGAATGTAGAAAAAGATTTATTTTACCCTTGTTTCGTTTTCTACACATCATCAGGATTATGGGCAGTTTAGTTTTTATAATTAAATTCAATTTTATGGAATTTGTAAACCGTTTATTGTATGAGTTCAGGAATAATTTAACAATTTGTAATAAAGGAAATGCTAATTTTGAAACGGAAAGGAGAAAGAAAATGTTGATTTTTTTTTGTTTACGTTTCATTTAATTAAATTATATGTTATTCTTTATTGTACTGTTTGCATTTATTTTGTAGATAAGATTATAACCGCTTCATGTGGATGTTCACCGTTCAGATTAATGAATATGAATTAAGAGGAACCAATACAATACCTACTGCGTAATTAAAACTCTTGAAATTAATTTATTTACTGAAATATATATGCAGTTCGAATATTAATGAAATCCTATATCTCTTGAATGTTGACGATTATGCCAGGCTATGCAATCTGTATAGTTAGCAATGAGTTCATCAAATCAGTTATCAATTTCATTAATTACTAAAGTACTCTGGCAAATATACCAAATGGTCGATATTGATGGTAATTAATTTTCTTTTCATCGCCTGCATACCGTATGGTATGTAAGTAAACAAGCTGCATAATTTTAATAAAATTCTTATCAACAAATTTTCGCAAATTTAAAAAATATTTGATGAGAAACGTTCATTTCATTAGTCTCACATTATTCTAATTCAACTGAATGAATAATGTTTTAGAGAAAGATGAAATGGAGCTTTTCGAACGTGTAATTGGTTGCCTACAACGAGCCATGTAAAGCTTCTCAATTACCCCCTACTTAATAAATTAAAATGTGATCGTTGCTATAATTAGGTAATTGCTTTTGAAAAAGTTCTATCAATATTAAACGATTTTGAGTATTACTTTGATAATACTGACGCAGAATGAGTGGCATTAATTTTAATAGAAAAAAGAAAAATAAAAGCAAATAATCGAATTAAACAACGAATTTTTTACGTTTATTGATTGATACACACTTGTCACCTACTTTGGAAGCGTTATGTTTGAATAGGACGAAATCTTGGGAGGACTTTTTATATTTTGCTTTAAAATTTAAAACAGGGTTAATAATTTCAACACTTTTTATTTGCATGATTGCCGTAACTTCAGAAAGTCACAACGCCGTTGAAGCAGTTTTCTAATGAACGAAAATGTGTGAAAGTTTAAACAATATTTTATTTTTCGTTAAATTTAATTTACGAATTGTCGTTCTACTGTTACGTTTTGGTACTTCCCCAGTTCGAGCCGGAGCAGATTTCTGTCAATGTATAATATTTTATTAATTGATGATATTCGTTTTTATTAACTGCCCTAAATAAATTAAGCGATTTCAGGTCCGTTATCATCGATAAGTGTGAAGTCTCTATCGATGATATCAGCGGGTATCAGTAACAGCACAATCGCGCAATATTTCTAGTGATGTCAACGGCGCCGTACTTATGAGAAGCCCCAAGGGCTTTTTGAGAGTCGAAAAAATTTTCCCGAAGAGAAGAGGTGCTAGTGACGGTGACAGAGGAGTATGAAAGTTCACCAGAGGCGACTGTTCGAGGAACGGTCCTCTAAGTACCCCGCTGTCATGCCGGTGACTCCAACCATCCTCCTTGCCGTTCTCCTTCTTCACCTTGCACCATACAAAACTGCTGTCCAGGCATCTGCTTGGAATGTTAGTTCGTGTTCGAGTGCTAATCAACGGTGTATCAATCGAACTTATAGAACTTGCGAAACGATGTGCGACGAAAACAAAACATGTGAAATACGTATAGGAATTCTCTTACCAACCAACACTTCTTACATTGTTAATATGGAAAAGGTACGCTCACTAAAAACATTTTATTAAAAGACAAAAAACCTATGTCAAAATTCAACTTCCTTTTTGGTCCTAATCAAAAAACAGGTCAACGCATGAAAGACATTAAATGTTTTCAATATTTTTGAATATTCACGCAATATTGCTTTCTTGTAATCAGAAAAATCCGAGTGAATGGCAGTGGTCAATTGTAGATAACGATGGACTTTTCGATAAAACATTGTTGAAATCAAAGTAAAGCCTAAGCACAATTTACACCTACATTCAAATATTAACTATAAATAACGAAGAAATGAAGTTATATCTGTTTATGTGGGTTTCAGTTTTAGACTAAAAATAGGGAAACCTGTTGAACCTTTAAACTTTATCTGCACGTATTCGTAGCGATAAACGACTTTTACTTTCATCCTAATGTTCTAATCGTAAGTGTATTAGAGTCAATTAAATTCTCGGGTCATTATCAGTATTTCAAGTGTTAGCCACGTCATAAATTTTACTACAATGGTATTACAAAAAAATAAAAAAGGCATTCTTTTGAAATATTCGTAGTACAAAGAAGCAGTTCAAATAAGCCTACAAACAACAACACTTATAATTGTATATTGTTTTAAAAGTGTAGTGTGTACATAAACATTCGTTTAATTGTTTTTTATTAAGTAGTAATTATCCTCTTTGCAATCATAAATCCACACTTAGAAACATGGATTTTATATTTCACTGACTGAAAATTATCAGCGAACCTCACGCTAGAGTTTAAATTTCGACTTACATTCTTTTATTAATAATTTTCTCACTTGCAGCAATTTTGATTTTAGTAGAACAAATAAATAAATATTGTATTTTTAGAGTAGGAGTTCCCAAATTTATTTTTGGATAAGTTCCTTTTTATTTTATACATAAACCGAGCGATATTCCGGCTTGAAACGTTTATAATGAGAAGATAAATAAAGAAGTAACTTCTAAATTTAGTGTAGTATTCAGTTTTTGACGTCTCCAAAGATTCTTTTTTGGTACAAGTACGTAAGTACAAGGATTTATAATAATAAGAAAATGGAAACCAATCTTTTTTTCTAAAGTTAAATCTAAGTAGATCTTACATACTCAAATCAAATACAAACACAACAGAAAACAAATAGTAGCCTAGTCAGTGCATACATGCTTGACACAGTTTTGCAAATATTTGCTATCTCATTAAAGTCATCATACGAAATGGAGACTAAACTTGAATTAGTTCATGATTTATTATAAGAAATTGTGATTTTGAAAATGTATGTGTTTTAAGGTGGAATTCAATTAATTCTGTTCCTTTATACTTTTTACGGTAATTAAAATCGCGTAATTTTAAGGGAAAGGGCCAGTTTTTCGGTGGTTAACTTCTTCGTTATTCAGGCTCCGTGTATGTAACAAAATTTAAGAATGAAAACGATAAACTCTCTTCAATATTTCGTAAATGAGTTTGTGTCAAAATTTTTGGGGCCTGATGTCAATTATATTTCAGAAGTTTCCAGTAGCAAATTATTGAATGGAGGGGCGGGGGGTGAAAAAAAATAATATAATTTTTACAGTATTCTTCTACCTTGTTCAACAAGTTTTGTCAAGATAATGCTATTAGTAGTTTGCTTTATTTAAACAAAGTTATTTTTTAAATTTTTCATATTTACAAAAAAAATATTTATAACCACCACATGCAATGTGCCCTCTCATTCCTAATTGCCTCAGCAAATTCAAATTTAAATACAATATTATTTTATAAACATATCCTGCAAAAAGTATTGTTTAACATGCAAAAAAATAAAATAAAATGAAATGAAATAACATTTGGAGCATTATGAGATATGAGTGTTGAGTCTATCACCATTATCCTGAGTTAAAACATGATGCTAAGGAATGATGTGAACCCAGATTTCGGCTCCAAAGCAAGTTAGAATCCAGAAAACGGTCATGAAGGTGTTAGAAACAGTTTTTTGGGATGCAAAAGAATTTTGTTTGTAGATTATCTCCTATCTAATAAACGGAAATTATTATTGTAACTTTTTGGACTAACTGGATGTAAAAATTCATAAGAAAAGACGGTAAAAGTCTAGATGACTTTTTATTTAATTTTTTTAATTATTCATTCAAGCGGGTGGAGGTGGGGGATCGAAAGAGGGTGGTCACTTGAACAGAATCCGATAACCTAACCTAACCTATTGATAAAGATATTTAAATAATGTTTTATATAACTTTCTCAATATTTTTATGTATTTTTCCATTAGTATTACCTTTGAATATTGTTTAATAATGAGTATACAAATATTTACATGCCTAGAAATGTACAAAAATTGGCATATTTATTAACTTTGAACCCCCATAACTTTTTATGGGAGTGAGACCGAACTTTTTATGGTACAGTGGTGGGGAGACTTTCTCCTTCGACTCCCCCACCCCCACCACAGAAGGCAATCATTTAGACCTTTACCGAAAACACTTGATTTATAAAAGAAAAAAATACTTTTTTATTAAGATAAGTATCCTATTTGACTTCTGACTTCAGGGTGGAATCCATGAATTATAGGAAGAATGATAAAATGCATTTCAAACTATAAAATCGTATTTTTCTTAAGGTTGTTTGGGAGGTACAATCGGAGGCAAGAGTAGTAGGTACATAAAATTAGAAATTCGAGATTAATTAGGTTTTGCAACATATCATGAAGTAAATAAATACTATCTATACTAAAAAAAGAAGTATACGGTTTGAGAGAAAATTTGGAATTTGACCAAAAACTTTGAATAGAATAAGAAATAACGAATAATATGGAAAACTTTTAACTGACTTTTGGCAGTGAATATGCCTTGATTTCAACTTCGAAACAAAAAAATATTTAGTTTCAATTTTTATTAATAATGAGCGTAAAACTTTTTAATATGTTTAAATAATAATTAAAACTGTAAAATTGCATTATTTCAGACAATTATAAATATTACCATTATATTATCAAGTAAAAACGAGATTTTCAGCTAATTTCTAATTTTTTCCTCGATAACCATTTAGTGAATTTGAATAACCTTACGCTAAAGTGATTCTCCAGAGTTCAAGTTACTTATTATAAAAGTTTGATATTTCTGGTAGCTTTTTTTCTGTTAAAAAAAATAAATTTAATCTGTTCAGTTAACGAATCTCCATAAAATGACGTGTAAGATTACAATTTTTTAAAATTTCAATAACTTTTTAACGGTTTAGTGAATCGATTTGTAATTTTTACAGGAGTTTTAGAATTGAATGAGGAACGTTCCTTCAAATTTTTACCTTCCAAACATCGTTAACGAAGGACAAAACTTCTTGAGCAACCTATTAAAAATATGTTATGCTATAAACTGTCTTCTACATTTGAATGTTAATCTGCATAATTGCCACTTTCAAAGGAGAGAATGGACAAATAATTTAGTCTCTCTTGCTTTTTATAGTAGACCTGTCTCAATTTTTTATAAATATTAGTTTAGTGGAGAAAGCTCTTTTAGCATCAGAACTTCTTAATCGCATTATTAAGTCAATAGATTTTTAGAAAGGTATACAAATTTGGTAAAAGATCTTTTACAGATTAAATTTAAATTTTGGATATTTTAAACATTCGCTTTTATTTGAATTTGTGTGGTTAATTCCATATATTTATTGAATTGGTTGCATTCATATTTTAATCTGCCTCCTACGTCAACACTGTGATGGTCTGAAATATTTCATACTTTTTTCATCCATACCTATTTGAAGTTGCCGTGTCTCCTAGATCCATTACAAATTTTAATTCTTGTCAAACAGTTCGTAAACGTTTCTTTTTTTACTTAGTTCTAATATGAAACAGTCAGTTCAATTAAAGTTTTCATATACTCCCTATCAGTCGTCAGCATCCATTTATCTGAAGAATAACTAAGAACATTGTAGTCTTGATAAAGTTCCCGATTAGAGACGAAACGTTGGTGTTATTGTAAACCTTTTAACGCTTAAGTGCCTAGATTTTTTTTACATTTCTACATGTTCTGATCAAAAAATCTAAATTTTGCTCAAAAGTTCACTTATGGAACTTATGCGATGTCATATGTTTAACTGAATTATTATACGCCAGGAAAATTTTAAAAGTAAATTATTTTTATCTTTGCGTAGGCCTTAGAAAATATGCAAGAGGCTGAAGAAGCCGCAAGAAATATGGGATTATTTCCACCTAATACAATAATAAAATATTATAAATACGACGATCAATGCAATCAGGAGTATGCGACACTAGGAGCATTATATTCCTACACTGAAGCATGCATCCATGTTATGTTTGGATTAATCTGTGACTATTGTCTAGGTAAGTCTTGAAGAAATTCATTTAAGCGTAAATGTTTTTTGGAAACATCATCGTGTAACATCTGCATATCAAGATTATGAAAGTCATGATGTGATAACAAATTTTTGTTATTTTATAATCGTGGTTGCAATTCTTTTGCAAATGGTGTAAGACAATTATCAATGCAATCATTCATTTTGTTTCTGTTGATATTTTATTATCCCTATACTACTATACATAAATATTATACTATTGACTAATTCTCCATCTCTTCTTTTTTCCTATTCATTCCACTTCTGTAGTGGACATATCCCCGGTTCCATCCTAGGTCTCTCAAAAGGGAAATCTATTTTGTATTTTATATTTGAAATAACAAATAAAAAAAAAAACATTTAGCACATCTCTACTTATATTTATTAAATTTCTTTATACTTAATAATGTTACTTCCTTAGAGTTCTTACAATTTCCATTATTACACTTCTCAAATAAAGGGACAATCATGCTTATTTCCTAGTTCTCCTAATTTCCACCCCGCATATTTGTCATCTTTGTGGAATGATTTTAGTATATTATAGAAAAGTGAGAGTGCGAGATTAGTCTGAATTCCATTTTCCTTTTGGACACGGGGAGAAACTACAATAAAAAAAATCCGAAAATCTGATAGCGTAAAATGCTGCAATCTAATAACATAAAAATGAGTAATAGGCTGTTTTTATTTACTTTAAAAATTTGAAACATAATGCTGATATAACAGCAATAATTTCTCGTACTATATTTTCAAAAAATTCCAACCGTAGAGGGGGAGTTTTAACCCTCCTAATTCTTCCCCTTGCGTGGCTACGCTACTGATTGTAAATTCACCCTCCTTTTCTTCGAAACGCTAAGTAAATATATTGCAAAGAAAGTAGAAAGTATCGGAGGTTTTTTATCAAAAATCAGGGATAACCGAGGCACAAGTAGTTTATTGATATTTCTGTATAACGAAAGATAAATACATATATATTTTGTTATCATTTTTGAACAATAGCTTCCACCTGCTGTAAACTGCGATCTACGTGTATAATAGTAAGAGCAATCACCTAGCTTTATAATTCGACAGTTCGATTACACAAAATTTTGTTATCTCATTAACTGCAGCACTATTATTAATTTACCGGTTACACTGATAATATACTAGTACTTTAGTACATACATTGATAATGTTACAAGTATCCAATTTACAATATTTCGTGATGATTTTTCATATTTTCCTAAATAGATTAGTGAACATATTTTCTTGACTGTTAATTTTTCTTGATCGATTTAGTTGTGAAGCTAAGATTTGTATTTTTTCGTATCTGAGTTGATAATTATTCTATTTATAGAACTGATAGCAGTTATCATGTCAATATTGTTTTCATTTAAATTTAAAATCGAAGGTAGTAAGTAGCTGCCTAATCGTTATCGCATCTTATTTTATACACTTTCATTATTAAAATAAATAAAATAGAAACGAAAAGTTAATTTCTGATAAGAAAAACTAACAGACTAATAGAATATTATTTCTACATCTACATGTGCGCCTTTTTAAAAACAAATAAAACCTTAACGAATGTGACTTATTGTAATAAAGGAAATGCTAATTTTGAAACGGAAAGGAGAAAGAAAATGTTGATTTTTTTTTGTTTACGTTTCATTTAATTAAATTATATGTTATTCTTTATTGTNAAAATCGAAGGTAGTAAGTAGCTGCCTAATCGTTATCGCATCTTATTTTATACACTTTCATTATTAAAATAAATAAAATAGAAACGAAAAGTTAATTTCTGATAAGAAAAACTAACAGACTAATAGAATATTATTTCTACATCTACATGTGCGCCTTTTTAAAAACAAATAAAACCGAAACGAATGTGACTTATAACAAATACTATAATGTTATTTAAAATTTTTAAGCCAGCGCAGGAAGAATTGTCAAGTTCTTAGGAAATTATGGTACACCTTTGATAACGCCAGGTGGATTTGTTTTCGATTTTACTCAGCAAAAAATATCTTGCACTGACGAGTATTACATGATCCTAAATTCCGGAATGGTAGATTACAGATCGCTTTCGGAATTCTTTTTATTTATCATGCAGAAGTAAGTGAAAAAACAATTGTTGCGACCCGCAGGCGTAGCTAGGCGTCGGGACGTTGGCATCGCCATTAAAGAAAAAGTCGTACGTCATAGGTAACGTTTATTCAGTCATCTGGCAACACTAACAGTTATGGGGTTCTCCAGCCAAAGAAGTCGTATTCAGGGCAGAAACTTATTTAAAAAAATATATGGGATTCCCAGACTCGTTTAGTTTTTCTTACATATATCAGCCGTATCGTAACGTTTTGTGGAGTTCAATTTATTAGCACTGTCGCCTACGCTCACGTTCGGTTTAGCTACGCCGTTGTTGCAATCAATTCTTTATTTAACCGTAAGCAATATATTTCCAGAGAAGTGACTTATTTGAAAAAATAATTTAAAATGCAAATACAAATTAAGAAATACCTATTTTTATCTTGTATTTAAATACATACTTTTTTGAGAAAAGCATTTTGTATTTTATCTAAAATACTTTTCCGAACGTATTTTCTATTTTTGTAAAATGCAAAATACGTTTTTGCCGTTAAAAGTTTTGCTAGTATCAACGATCAAACATTGTATAAAGCTGCTCACATTGACCATTGAAGGTATTAGAAGCTTAAAAAAGGGACAAAGAGATATTCCATAAGTGCCTTCTAATCGTATAACTGCCCAAAAAATTCTAAACTTCTTGGAAATGTTTAATCTAAAGTGTTGGACCGATATTGTTTTCCAGGTTCAATGTCATGGTACATGGAATTTTGAAGTTCCAAATTGATAAAACTACAAAATTCTGTGAATTACGACAAAATAGCCCGCAAAACAATATCGAATTGACGCCAGCTCACTAAAATTGAAAATTATAAGATATTGTGGTGTCAATAAATACCTATAATTCAAAATTCTTAGAAAACGATTCGAAAAATTTCACTTAGATATTAGATGAACCCAAAGCTAAAGAAACTATCGATTCCATTTCTTTCTCTTATTACAATATGTAATAGATAAAAAACAAAATAAGGTTGTAAATATTTTGATATAAAATGATTGATGGTGATTTTACATCAATAAAATTATTTTGGCAATAGTGTCTTTTTTCCAATTAAAACGGTTACAAAGGCAAATAAGGAAGCATATAGAAGAATTATTTGTTGCTGAACTAAAGAAACTATAACATAAAGATAGAAAAATTCTATCTCAATCACTTCAATCAGAACAATATGAATCATACTCAATCTACTAAGCTGGTGATATAGTGCAAACATCACTCACTATTAGTGCAGAAAAACTCCAATATTTAAAAAAAAAGCAAATGCCTGCAAGGTTTTCTTAAAAAATATTTTATACTTTAGTAAATGTAGAAAATTAAACCGGCATTACGAAAAACTATTTATTGGAAAAAAGTATTTTGAAAATACGTATTTTGCATTTAGCATTTAAAATACGAAAGGGAAATCTATTTTGTATTTTACATGTGAAGTAACAAATCAAAAAAGTATTTGCATTTTGTATTTAAATACTTTAAATAAACCATTTTGCACTTTTTTATTCAATTTGCGGTGTTAATTTTTGATGTTGTTCATCAAGTCATCCTACACCACAAAACCTGATGAACTTACGCTTCACTCGTTACTGTAAATTCGTTAGAAATTTTCGATCTAAATGCATTACTGATATGGTTATTGCTACCTTCAAAATTGCTTGATTTCAAACTTTAATTAGTAGATAGCCTTAAATAAAATTAATACTGATATTGACAATAAAATAGTTGTAATCAAAATAGATCGAAACACGATCAATTTAATAGTTTCTTACAGTACCTATCAGACAAAAACTGTAATTTTGACTATTTAATAAATTCTGTAATTGCGCAGTTAGAATTTTCTTGCAAACTCAATTATTTCGATAAATTATAAAAGTACACGAGTATTACCTAATCACGCAATTCGTTGAAGTGCCTGTGTCTCCAGATAAAGAATAATTACCCGTTTAATAAAAAAACGGCATATATATACTACGCAATTTATTGTAAGTAAGCTGTTGCTAATGTTTACTTTGTGTCTAAAAAATGATGAACAAGTGCTGCAATTTAGATAAAGACCACTCACGCGATGTCAATTTCATAAAGATATTAAGGTATTGAAATTATAATTGTTCGAAAAATAATTGAAATAATAATCTTTACAGGCATAGAGAGTCATAAACGATAATTAATTAAATTAACTGAGTTAAAAATTGTATCATTATGGAAAGAATGCGATTGCAGCAAGTTGTTATTCATCATCACAATTATCTACCTGAGTTTTTAAAGTTTAATCGTTAAATGCGTATTCACTTGTACAAGAGCAAATAATGAATGAAAAAACAAACAATTTACATTATTGGAAAAAGCATTTAGAATTGAAAGCCTAAATAAGCACTAACCTATTCTGAAAATCATTTTAAGAAATATTTGCATGTTTAAAAACTTACCTTTTTAATTTTTTACGATNTATGAGCTCTCAAAGCATATAAAAATTATACGGCTTAAATGTGAAGTTGGGTGCAAAAGAATACAATTAAATCCTCTGTCGGGAAGAAACGAAATGACTTTCCGAACAACCCTATATTTTGTATTTTACATTTGAAATAACAAATCAAAAAAGTATTTGCATTTTGTATTTAAATACTTTTATATAACCATTTTGCACATACATCTCTCTATATATTTCAGATATGGATGGGCAAGTATAGCACTGTTGTATTTAAAATCTAATCAAAATGAAGTAGCGGGGTCAGAAAGTTGCTATTTATTAGCTAAAAGTGTTATAAATGAACTGTCTCAGATCGAACGCTTAGCATATCTTGATGGAGATTTAGAGTTGAATTCGGTTGGGTATAAAGAATTTCTTCGAGAAAGGGTTGGCGTCAGATACGGAAGTAGGTGAAAAAAAATCTTTCAAGTCGTTTTGGAAAATAAGAATAAGCGGCAAAATTACAAACACTCTCTTGCAGTTATATCGATTTGTGGAGATTATCAGAATGTGAGAGAAATTTTGATCGCTGCAGAAGAAATTGGTATGATGGACAAAGGAGAATATATTTTCTTTTCTTTCGAGTTATACAACAAGTACGTCAGTTTTATTCGAAAATGAAAGGTAAAAACATGTAAATTTTCGTAGCGCTCCCATCCCATCTCAGCCTTGGTACGATCCAAGCGATACAAACGAGAGAAACCAAAAAGCAAAAAAGGCATACAAGTCCACCTTTATTTTAACGCCATCGATTGAGGCTAATTACGCCGAAATGAACTCGACGGTAGATGGCGACCGAGGGAAAATATTTTTAGATGGGGTTTACGACGGAATGATGCTGTATTCAAATGCTTTGAATAAATTAATAAAAACTGATGAAGACGGTTACGCGCGACCGAATCAAACCATTAAAGGTACAGATGTTGTATCGACTGCATTTGGTATGCAGTTTGAAGGTGAGATGTTTTTGGAAATGGCCAAAACAACAACGAATAAGCAATGAAACAGTTGTACAAGTTTTCCATCATTAATTTTTACTTGCCTAGGTAGACGCGAAAATATAACCATGAATTGTAATGGACTAAGAGTTGTGGAATATGCTCTGATGCAATTGAACAATTCAAATATGATACACTCTGTAGCTTATTATCAAACAAGAACTAAAACCGTTCAGTACGTTAAAAATATCACTTGGGTCGCTGGGAATGCTCCATCCGATATTCCAACATGTGGATATGACAATTCAAAATGCCCCTGTAAGTCATAATATGTACATATCAGAGTGGTCCTTACACATACATACCTACATCAATTTCAGAATTTTATGTTGGGCATCTTCCGGAAATTTTCAAGCTTCGCCCTCTCGGAATTCAGTTTGTGAGTATAAGAGTCACATTTTCTCAACTTGTGAATTAACATTAACATATACTCGCATGAAAAGCCATATCATATAACGAAATAATATACACGGTGTTTCTGAAATAAGTAGCAAACTTTGGAGGGTGGTAACCAGATGCAATAGGGAATCGCACAGTGAGTAAAATAGCGTGGTTAAGGGACAAAAAAAATCAGACGAATCCGACCCTGGGCGTGAATTGGCAACACATAGAGAAATTGCGAAATAGCTACACCGATGAAAAATGTAAACAGTGACGGTTGTGAAACTACTAATCGACAGCTTACTAGATACTACGCTACTACACATAACAATCTTAGACGCCCACTGCGATAACAATTAACAACTACTTTGTTCATAGCTGTATGGTATTTATAGTACACCTCAACATGGTATTAAGGACACAAAAGAAAGATAAAATTAACGTCATGTAAACTTTAATAGGTAAATTAATATCCTCTGGATAGGTAACGGTAATTGTATTTTTCAAAATCACCATTGTGGTGTTGCCAAGATGCGTTTCTTTTTTTTATGGGTGGTTCGCCAATAGTTCAATCCTTTCATTAGAAAGAATTAATAACAACACCAGTAAACACACACATACGTAAGTACACAAGAAAAACAATTTCTCAGTATCGCAAAAACGTCAGGCATTTGACGTACTTCATTTGCAGCGATCATACACGGTCCTATAAATCATTAGTGCTCTACACTGGCGTTCGATACACGCGCTGTTCCTTACAACACCTTACAAAGAAGTCAAACAGCGCAAAGAAAAATGTTCATCTAGAAACTCACTCATTGCATAATATTCTGCACTGAACAATGACACTAACACATTGACCTAGTTTTAGTGACTTTGATTGTGTAAATGCATTCGTAATACAAGCCTAAAACGTTAAAAGAACAAAGAATTCACTGTAAAGTTAATCATCGTCAATCACACTTAGTCTAATCTAACAAATAACAAGCAATATATGAGTACAAAATTACAGAAGAAATACAACACGGACGCTGCTAAGTGGCAGTTGATTGAATGCGCCGTTGCAATGTCGTATTTCCCTGTGTGATCGCACCAGCGCCGGACTGATCCCTGCCTTTACTTTCAGATACGTTTTTCTAGAAAACGGTGGTTTTGGTTTTATAGTGGCCTGCAATCTTCCTACATATTTTAGAAACACCCTGTATAGGTTATATCCGTCCTTAAGGTGCACTCTTAATATTGGTGAAAGAATTTTTGAAATCGAATAAGTAGTTTCATAGATTACTTCCGACATCCGAACTTATAAAATTAACATTTTTATAATATTAGCGTAGATATGATGTAGATAACAATCCTGCCAAGTTATATTACAGTAGAAATCGCGTGTGCTCGAAATTATAATCTCATCAATAAAATCCTACATTTATTTTTTAAAAGTTGTAAAACATTATTAATAAAGAACATTAAATAATGAGCTTCAAGAAAGTAGCTTTAAGCGTTGAAAAATAAAATAGTAAACTAACGAAATTATTAGCGTTGTTATTTGCTACAATGATAGAAACGTAGAAGACTCAATAGGAAAAAAAAAGAATTAGTTTATAAATACTTTAAAGCAGAAAGCTTCAATTGTGGTAAAAGTTTAAGAGTTTTTTGTTAGGTACTATTTGTGAGCTTGACAAAAATTTAAATACGTGACAACACATTTTTTCAAAGCTTTCAGGAAATGCCCAACATAAAATTCGAAAATAAGGAAGATAAGTTCTACTCTACTATATATATATATTGAGTATATAACAAAATAAATCATTTCGTTTTTCTTTTAGCCGAAGTGAATATTGTTCTAATAGTAGTTTGTGTTACATCAGGAGTAGCACTCATTATTTTATCAACTTTCCTGTACAGGTAAGAATTAATTTCCACTACCGATGGTATTTTTCCATTGCGTATGCAATTATTTCATTGTAATTTTATCATTACAAAAGTTACATATGTGTACATCAATTCATTAAATTCAATTTAATTTCGATGGATTCCGACTCTACTAATTAAAATGACACGGTTTCTTTGTTTTATAAATCCATTCACTTTTTAATAAAACAATAATGTAACTGTGCTATTTTAATGATTTTATCAATATCGTTTTTTACACTATGTTACATGCAGGCTTTTACTGATTTGGAATTAAGAACAACTCGGAGAATATATTTGGGTTGTGTATCGCTGGCCAAAGCTCGGGAAATGGGCCAGTGCCATTATGTTTTGTGTGAATCAATAAGTCAAAATTATACGCTGGCAATTTGTAGGACAATGATGAATAAATTTCCTTTGAAGGATATTAATGCTTGCTCTTCTTTTCTCTCTAAATTCTACAAAATAGAAACAAAAATATAGTATAAAATCTCTGTTATTTACCCCGTTATTACGTAAAATACCCTACAACGTAGACTTTATTTTAGCTTGAACTTGGATGCTTTACTTTATAACTCATAAACTGCTGGTTGAAAAAAAAACTTTATATACGCACATACATACGTATGTATGTGTTATTGAAAATGTATGTAACTTTATATAATTCCAGAAAAATTTATAAAATTTTAACTTGTAAAATCCTAAAAAATATTGTAAATGTTAATTTTTTTGTTTGCTACCGTTTTGCGCCTACTCAACCAATTATCATGAATTTTTTTACACACATTCCCAGTGGTAGAAAAAAGGACTTTGTGAGTATAAGAGTCACATTTTCTCAACTTGTGAATTAACATTAACATATATGGGATTCCCAGACTCGTTTAGTTTTTCTTACATATATCAGCCGTATCGTAACGTTTTGTGGAGTTCAATTTATTAGCACTGTCGCCTACGCTCACGTTCGGTTTAGCTACGCCGTTGTTGCAATCAATTCTTTATTTAACCGTAAGCAATATATNGTTTATAACCTTTAAATGGGAGTTAAATCTATAGTGGGGTTTTAGTTTTTCTTGCCTCCTTACCCTCTTTGGGCGATGCTCTTGCAAATTCACCATAATTCAAAAAATAATAAATTTTACTAAAAACCAATCACCAATTTGCTCGAACCTTTCGAATTTCGTTTTTGCCGTAAATATCCATTTAAATAAGGCAAAAAATATTTTACACGTTTCCTCAATCAGCTTGACATTTTAAAAGTCGTATAAAATTCCTAAATTACATACATTTCTAATAACATATGTACGAAAAAGTTGGTTGAGTACCAGTGATAGGAGAAATAAAGTAACATTGGGGGACGCTTTTTACTAATCATCATAATTTGGTTCAATGTTGAGCATTAAAAATTAAATACTACAATGAAATAGAGTGCCTGGTCCTGTTTCGTTATAGAGAGTTTAGACTACATTTATTGTGTAGCTTCATTTATAGTTAGTTTTCTGAATATGATTTCATGTTTTTATGAATTAAAACATTTTAATAGCAGGTTTCGTTTTCTTTTTAAGGCATTACAAGTTAGAGGCTGAAATTGCTTCAATGACATGGAAGATACACTGGGAAGATATCGTTTGGTTGCCAAATACAAGGGGGCGCGGTAGTTATCATTCGACGGAATCTTTAGCAAAAAGACTCAGCATAGGGGTACGAAACTTTTGGCTTAGGTTCGAATCAGTACTAAATAGTTCAAAACACATTTTTTATAGTAGAAATAGCATTAGGAATTACATATTTTAGAATTAGACTACATTGTAAAATTTTGGATTACGTTTTCAGACGTTCCAATCGGAAATAGAAGGGCTGAGTTTAGCTGGTGATAGACAAATTTACGTTCCAATTGCTTTTTATAAAGGGATACGAGTGGCTGTAAAAAAGTTACAAGATAATAAAATAGAACTGAATCGATCGCAGTTACTGGAATTAAAAGTGATGAAAGATTTGTCTAATGATCATTTGGTTAAGTTTTATGGTGCTTGTTTGGACAGTCCACACTGTTGCATCTTGACTGAGTATTGTCCCCGGGGAAGTCTCGAAGATATTTTAGAAAACGAAAAGGTTAAACTGGATTGGTTATTTCGCATGTCCCTTATTCAAGACATCACACGGGGTATGCACTATCTCCATTCGAGTGACATAAAATCACACGGATCTCTTAAGTCTTCAAACTGCGTTGTCGATAGCAGATTCACGTTAAAAATAACCGATTTTGGATTACACTTTCTAAGATCATACGCACACGACGATTTCACTGACGACGAAAATTCTTATTCATATTGGCAAAGTGAGTCCTCCATTGTTGTTATTTTAATGTACGTTTTTCAAAATTAATAACTCGTTTCGTATCTAACTTTTTAATTTTAGGACAGTTGTGGACGGCACCGGAGTTACTTAGAATGGATAATCCACCAAAGGAAGGAACTCAAAAGGGCGACGTCTATTCTTTTGCAATTATCGTTCACGAAATATTTACACGCCAGGGGGTCTTCTATTTAGGGGATTCAGTACACATGACACCTAAAGGTAAGCTGATACATATTCACATAAATGTTTTAAGTGTGTTTTTGACTTTGATAAGTAAGGCAAGTTTATAATATTTACGATTAATGTCGTAACGTATTAGGGGAACAAATTAATTTTAAGCAAGAAAGCCAAAAGATTAGGCAATTATTTCTTCAGTACACAGCAAAATTAAATATTTTATAACATATAGAGGCTAGGCCTTTTATAAAACTCGCATAGATGCATATGGGTCCATGTTTGCACTGTCTTACAATAACCCTTGTATGTATTAAATACAATAAAATAATAATAAAGTTTTGTTTAGAGTCTCACAAAAAAGTCAAAAAGTTAAGTTAGCAGTTTTTCAAACATTGGATTTTCAACCATTCTCCACCCCTCCCCCTGACTATAAACATTTGTTTAGTGTAGTGCAAGGCCATTCACTACCCTGTCAACTTCGGTTCCGAATATGAAGGGTAATTCCGCAATGAAAGTTTTAACCAAATAATGAAAACACAAAAATTCCAAACAGAAAATAATTTCAAAATATAATGTCAAACCTATTGGGATCCGTCAAATGGGAGGAGCCTAAAAACATGGCGCCGATTAGGGAAAATTTATCGTAGTTCCTATAGTGTACCGTGCGATTTCCAAGTTTTTAAATTACGATAAAATGATAAGTTTTGACACAATATGTGATTGGGTTGACACAAAGCCTGGGAAAGGAAATTTCGTTGAAGGTGAGCGTGTTTTTAATGCCAATCACATTATAAAATTCGGAAATAACAAATCCGGAAGTTAGCCTTCAAATTCCGTCAAGTTTACTGCCTACTTTTTACAAACTTCGGATTTAAAAAGTGATTCACGTTATATAATTGGTGAGGTAATTCTGGGTGATTTAAGCAATATCATATCAATAACTTGCACGTGCAAAGCCGATTTAAGAGAACGTTGAAAACACATTATTGCATCTTTGTTGTATTGTAGCAGGTAGGTTCTTAACCTCAAAATACTTATATCGTATCATTAGAATTGTGTTAAATCAATTACACAGAAATAAATAATTTCTCACTTTATAATTTTAGTATGATTCTAGTTTTAAATATTAAGGTTATGGCTGGTGGTAAATACTTGCTGAAATATAATCATGTGCATTAAAATGACGTGAACAAATTTTTATTCCGGAATTCACTTCTTTGATACCTACTGCTTTCATCCAAGCTTCTATTAGTTTACTTCTTTCTCTAATTTTCCGAATATATTTTTAACGGTTAGTTTTTATTGGAAAGTAGTTAATGTAGGTGAAGAGTAAAGATCTATGTATGAAGTGCTATTGCAGCTTTTCACTGAACATATTAAATACTTGCTGAAATAATATTAAGGTTATTAAAATGACGTGAACAAATTTTTATTTTGGAATTCACTTCTTTGATACCTACTGCTTTCATCCAAGCTTCTATTAGTTTACTTTTTTCTCTAATTTTCCGAATATATTTTTTACATATATAAAACGGTTAGTTTTTATTGGAAAGTAGTTAATGTAGGTGAAGAGTGAAGATCTATGTCTGAAGTGCTATTGCAGCTTTTCACTGAACATATTAACTTTTTATTTGATTTAACTTTAGAAGAAAACTTCGTCGACTCCATCATCAAAGAAATTTTTACTTTTTTAACGTGTTTTATTATTTTAATAAACAATTTTACAATTTGCTTGCACAGTTCCTATGTAAATTTTTCCCTCATTCGAGTTATAAATTTTGCCACCAGATGGTGTATGCCCATTTGACGGATCCCAATATGCTCAAGTGCTTTTAGGCGTTTAGTAAAACGCCCAAGCGTACGATAAAACGTGTGCTTATGCTATTCTTAATGTAAAATTTTGCTACTTTTCTGTACGTTTTACAATTTGCAAATTCGTTTTCTAAAAACCGCGACGTTTTATAAAACGCCTAATTTGACTATCTGCCTATGACATAAAGGTGCATATTTAATACGTATGAATTATTGATTAAAAGACATACAGGTACAAAGGGGCATTAGATGTGAGAGCAAGGGTCAGACAGGATAAGTAACATCAAAAGCGAATAAAGCCCAATTAACAATACAAAATCCTTTTTACGTTGAAAACTTGGAATACCAAAGTTAATACTACTAACTTTACAACGTGCCTGCTTATGGAATCTCGCTTTTTTCTTAACGAAAGGAAAGACGTGACTAAGCACTTATTTTAAAGGGCGATAAAAGATAAAGGGAAGAAATAGCGCACTTAAAATGTGCCAGTTACTGTTTAAGGGCGAAATCGTTAGAGAACGAAAGTACCAGTGAAAGTCCGGTTAATAATTACGCGAAACAATTAACTATTAATTACATTTAACTAGAAGTCGATAATACCGTTCGAGATTACTTAAAGATAAACCTTTTCTACTGTACTAGGAAATTTGACAAATAATCGTGAACGTTTAATTTGTAGCTTACTCGATTTTGTTTAGATATTCGAAAGCTCAACGGAATTTTGAAGACATGAAAGTGACAGTGTATAGATAATAATTACAGATTTGCAAAATGTTTTTTTAAAACTATATTTAAATACAAAATGCAAATACTTTTTTAATTTGTTATTTCAAATGTAAATTACAAAATAGATTTCCCTTTTGTATTTTAAATGCTAAATGCAAAATACGTATTTTCAAAATACTTTTTTGTAGTATACCTATTTAATTTTCTACATTTTTAAGAATATCTTGAATGCATTTGCACATTTTTTAAATATTGGTTTATTTAAGTGGTGTTCGTACTGTAACACCAGCTGCGAAGATTGAATATGATTCATATTTTTCTGTTTGGAGTGATTGAGATATAGTTTTTCTATCTTTATATTATAGTTTCTTAAGTTCAGCAACAAATAGTTCTTCTATATGCTTCTTTATTTACCTTTGTCATCCGTTTTAATTGTAAAAAAGACGCTGATGCCAAATGAATAGTTTGTTTAGCGTGAAAGGCCAGAACTAAAATAGGGTTGCAAATATTTTTATTGAAGTAAAATCAACATCAATTATTTTATATCAAAATATTTACAACGCCATTTTGTTTCTGGTCTTTTAAGAGAAAGAACTGGAATCCACAGTTTCTTTAGCTTTAGGTTCATTAATAACTGAACTTTTTTGAATCGTTTTCTAAGAATTTTGGATTATAGGTATTTATTGACACACCACAATATCTTACAGTTTTCAGTTTTACTCAGCTGGCGTATATCAATTCGATATTGTTTTGCGGGCTGTTTAGTCTTAATTCATAGAATTTCGTAGTCCGTTGTTAAAGGTGGTATAAGTGGTGATTTAGCAGGTGCTGATATCAATTCAAAATGCCATGGACCATGTTATTTAGCCTGGGAAACAATATCGATCCAATACTTTAGATTAAACATTTTCAAGGAGTTTAGATTTTTTGGGGCTCTCTTCAGTTAAAGAATTAGAAGGCATTCATGGAATGTTTCTTTGTCTTTTTTTAAGCTTCTAATACCTTCAATGGTCAATGTTAGCAGCTTTCATTCATTTGGATTTTACAAATAGAAAAGTACTTTAAATAAAATACAAAATGCTTTTCTTAGAAACGATAAAAATAGGTAATTTTTATTTTGTATTGCAAATAAATCACATCTCTGATAATAAAGGTCACCATTTTAAATTTAACCGTGTTATTTTTAAGTCATAAAGTAAACCCTTCGGCCTGTTACTCTATTGCAAAGCACTTTGTAATTAATTAAGCACTTTTCGTTTAATTGAAATTGTTTGGACATAATTTTGTTGAGGATTTTCTCTGAGGCGTGAAAATTTCAGAATCAATTGTGTTTTTTTTTTTTCGTAATTTCATGCGACATGCAGCTGGTTTAATAATTCACTTTGGACTTGTCAGGCAAGTGTATTGGAAGATCGCATGCAGCGGCGATTATTTTTTGATATCGAGCACTGGCTGAGCTTTGAAATTTGAGCTAATCAATGCCTCTGTTTTATTCATTCAACCGAGAAATCATTACCCCAGCTAATCTAGAAACCGACATATGTACGTATGTAGCAGTTCACTTACGATTAGTACCAGTAACAGTTAGTTAAGTTCAACTCACAATCAGTTTATTCCTGGATTGCCTCTAATTGCTATCACTTATCAAAGTGCAAAACTCTGTTGAATTAAAGCGAAAACACAATGAACTTCAACTTACATTTTCTTGCTTAATGGAGTAATATAATAATTGTATAGGTAATATCGTTCTTTGAGATTGTTAATTGTTATCAAATCTTTGATTTTTTGCAAAATTAGTCCTTTATTTAGCAAATGTTTGTTTGGTTATGTATTTTGTCACGAAAACTGCTCGTTCTTCAGAAAATTTTCTCAAGTAGGTAAAGTTCGTTAATTTTTTATTTGCATTTCTGAAGTGATTCAAAAAGAATCTGTGTGACAGTACAAAAATGTGTAGGCATGGTAAATATGAATACCTCATTTGCTGAAATATTTACGACGAAATTCCCGATTGTCACATTTATAATAGAAGCCGTTAGCACTTTCTGATTTGAATAAATCCTTCAAAAACGATCACCAAAATTTATAATAATGTGGTTTATTTTTAGAAATAGAAAGCTTTTCGTTTTAGAACGTGGACAAGTAAAAGAAGAACAACAAATAATTAGCATGACTTTTTCAAAAACAACACAATAATTCTACTAAAGGTTTAAGTCTACTTGGAACTCGCTGTTGAGATTTCGTTATTTTTCCAATTAAAAAGTAAACAACTTTCATTCGCTGTAAAACAAAACTAAGGCCGCTTTTCAAAATACAATACTTTAGGGCCGAGGTAAGCTTTGTTAGCATCGATCTGACAATCTATTTGAAGAAAATTAATAACAACCCCTTCAGAAGTAGTAGGAAGAATTTCAAAAGGCAGGTAGAAAAAGCCAGGTCTTGAAAAGCTGCGAAATATCAAAAGTTTTCAAAAAAAGTATATAATTTTTATCGTGAATGAGCCAGTTGAAAAGTTTCCATTGTTTAACCAACGTCAGGGCGACGATGCGATATATACATAAACTTTCTGACAACAGAAACTGCTAGCGAATTTCACTTTATGATACAATAGGTAAAAACTGACTAGTAAATAAAATTTGTCACGTAAGTTTGAATGGGGTTGTTAGAGATAATAGACTGGGTATGTGTATAGTTTGACGCATAAATCGTATACGTACATATATCTTCACTCATCGCGAGTGAAAATCGAGCAGATACCAAAAGTGATCTAATGTTACCTCGTTCAGGAAAATCCCGATAGTGTCCGGTCGTAATTATAATTTAATTTTAAAAATGACATGAAATTTGGCACTTGGCAATGCCTTTAGAATCAAACTGGATTCCAAGTGTAAAGAAATTAACAGAAACATTTTTAAAAAAGAAAAACGTTTTGTTTTGAAAAGTCAATTTTATTAACAAACAACGTAATCTTGCTGGAAAATTTGAAGTAATGTTCGAACAGTTTGGTAATTGGTAAATTGGGAAGGTGTCGATAGTAATTTAGAAGATATTAAATCGGATCGAAATCGTTTCGACCACAGGAGATAATCCAGTTTCATCTCAGGATTATAACTATAATATTTTTCGTGGAGTAGTGAAGGTACAGGCGCAAAAGCGTAAAGCCATCGATTTCTCCTTTACCGCTGAACTTTCAGTCAGTTCAAAGATTGTAGGCAAGGGAGATGGTCAACATCTAACATAGTCGGTTTCGGCGCTTTACATTACGATATTTACTGAAAACAATGGCAAGTTCAAGTGCCATCAGTTTAGCACTTCCGGGCGATAAGGCTGGGGAACGTGATGTGGGTACATCAACATCTCCCAGAAGAGCCGTTAGCCCTCTTCTTGAAGTTAGAAGACCGCATTGCACCCTCAATTGTGATTTCTGCAATGCTATTCTCGAAGATCGCTTCAAACACTTAAGTAAATGTTTCTTCTTTCACTTTTACTAAAATTTGGACGCTTTTTTGACAATGCATAGTAAAACTTTTCCATGATTAATAATTAGTACACAGTTTGAAATGTTTTGGGCGCGCGGATCTATCTCATAAAGTTTAATTTTCTTTTCAGAGATTGTGGATGCTGTTAAAAACAAACCGGAAGGGCTTCTATCGCAGCCGTTACGACCGTTGATTGTTTCGGAAACTTGTGAGGAAGACGTTGAAAATATTATGAAGCGGTGCTGGGCAGAGGATCCAGCAGATCGACCGGATTTCTCCGTTCTGAAGAACACCATTCGCAAACTGAACAAGTATGAGCTCTCGTTTTTTTTCTTTTCTAATAAATCTACTTACTTCTTTTCACATATCGGAACAAATTCGAAACCGTAACACGTCCTTTTACAGTCTGAGCCGTTTCCTTAGGAGACATGTATGAGTTTCCAACAGAAAGAGAAATAGAAATTGTCATTTCTTTTATTCATAAATATCCTAAAAAAAATTCGAGGCGGCTGTTTTTTTCTTTTCTAAAGAAAAAACAATAAGCGAGAAAGTATTTTATTTAAAAAAGTTTTGGTAAATGTTTTGCTTATTAAAAACTTCGGGATACTTTTAATTAATTTCTGACCGGTTAATTTAAGCGTGTAATTTTACATCGAAAGTTTTAAGTGTATTTCTGTGTTTCTGACTGTTAATCGTAATTGTTAAAGGGACGCACGTTATTCGGTGAAAGATGTAGAAAATAAGGGATCTGGGAAAAGGGAAAATAGCAGTTCAAGGCACCCAAAAATTTGTTTCTTCATGAGCAGGTTTATTTTTGCGTCAAGAAACGATTTGTCTGGCGTTTATTACGATAGAGTTCTTTCCTACCGTTTGTTACATTAGATCCCCTTAAAGTAGTTTTTAGTACGAAATAATCAGAGTATGTATTTCATTTTCCTTTTTAACTTTTCTTCGGGGAATTGCCTTTTAGTTTTTTTTACAGCTTCACCGACTTTCTCCCAATTTCAATAATTGGCGTAATAATGTATATATTTATAAATAAGCGAATTCCTCAAATAGTCCGTAGTTATTCTACAGAAACCTCTTAAATGCAACCATTTATACTCGAGTTTAAGAAAATTCATGTTAAGGAAAATTTGCGTCAATCTTTTTCATTTTTGTTTCGAAGACCTTATTTCTACATTACGTTGTTAAGACCAAGATGCCAGACAATGTAAGTACTTTATTCGTGTTGTCTTTTCCTACCCTAACATCATGATCCTAACCTAACTATTTGTTTTGTTGTTTCTCATAACTTAATACTGAAGGCCTAAGCCAAAATTTAAAAATTTATTGTAAAAATAGTTCCGCTTAAAAACTCGATTCATAAAGGATTTATAGTAACAAAAAAATATTACTAGAAAATATTTTGAGTTGTAGTTACTGAAGTTCGACTGTAATATCCACGTGGAAAGCTACATAGATAAATTACATCTTTCAAAAACTGAAATTTTCATTTTCCACTTGATTGATATTACTTTTAAATGCGCTAATTGATGAATGATAACAGATAATAGTACTTTCGAACCTCGCATTGCCTGGTTTTACATTACTTGGCTTTCAACCACTTACCCCAAAAACACTGCCCATGATGAAACACCAAGACCAACACGATAATAATCCTGAAACAAAAAATAATAATTAAAAAATGTAAATATAATATGTCACCATCTGTAGATGTTTGCTGCTAAATTGCAGTTAGCATAAGAAGGTCCTCACAAACTAGATCTACCAAAATCCAATTAATTAAAATTATTCCAGTCGATGTAAGAGTTTAATTGGTTATTATACCGTTGCGGTAGGAATTATGGTGGCGCTTGAAACTATAAAGTATTAGCGGTGGGAATTTCTGATTTAATTTTCATTTTTGCCGCGGTGTCGTTCGGAATTTCCTTTGCGATTATAAGTTTAGGGATGGGTGAACGAATGCATCTAATAAATACCTAAACTTCCTTGAGGGAAATTCCCCTATGTGATGTTCCAATTCCATGACACAGTCGATGCCCTTAACAGTTACGACCTCAATTTTGTGACGCTCCAAAATCGAAAAGCAATACCTCTTAAGTCAATATTTGTTTATTGTATTCCAGATCTTGAGAAGCGCTAGCTTTTCTTTTTTTTATGTATTCAGTATTATATAGTATTATCCAGAATTGAAGAAGGGAAAAACTTCATATTTTAGAAAAGGTACCTACGTAACTGAAATTTTCACCACGCTGAAATGCTAAATAAAATCATTTTTCTTTTTTTAACTTATCTTGCATGTTGTTCTTTCGACTAGCAAAACTACATCGATTGAGTTTGAGTCAGAATGTGAAATTTAATTAAACATAAATATCTGCTATTTGCTTTAGATGTTGTATAAAGTGGAAAAAATTCATGGATTTTTTTACGCACGGTAGGGTAAGTTCGTTCAATGCGAGTTGCTATGTAACGAAATCATGCAACGCATTTCTCCCGCTGTCTGTCCCTATGTATGCTTAGATCTTTAAAACTACGCAACGGATTTTACTGCGTTTTTTTTTTAATAGATAGAGTAATTCAATAGGAAGGTTTATATGTATAATACATGCATGATATAGTAGAGAAACATTGATAATTTTAGAGGTTTGTAATGTGATGTCGTAAATAAACACATTTTTTTGCGCTTACATTGCAAACGCTGGCTGAACCCTACGAGATAGATCAAAATAATGTACTACAGTATTGTACACCTTAAAAAGTTCTACAAAAAAGACCGCGATGGTATATGTCTATCTCTTAGGGATAACCCACTATAACCATTTTTTATCCTTTACTTTTTACGAGAAATAATGGCTTATTTACGAAGCGATTTTAAGCAATACAGCATTAATCCTTATCCAATTAAGTACTTTTAAATACATTGTGCATTTAATATAGATCAATATGGCCCTTTACAGCATGTAATTTAAAGGAATATTTTCGAAGATATTACAGACTTAAAATGCAGGGACATAGCGGTTGCGGCGGTACCGGCCGGTTTGTATTGTCTAATGACAAAAAAGCTGTGAATGTTGTATTTAAAGACATTCTATAGTATATTTACTATCAGCATTGCACCCGTGCGAAGCATAGTGTACAAATAATACCATTAAACCAATTCCTTAACCCCTATCCCGGTATGTTGGTGTGTTTGAAGAAGTTTCACTTCAGTAGCGTGTTGTGTAACTACACGTTGTATTTTGTTTTTACTTTTAGCTATTTTTTCATATAATATAATAAAGTAATATAAGTTCAATAATGTTTTCGAGTCCTATTAGGTACCCTTTTTCCAAAAGAATCCGAGAGTTGTGACATGGAAAGAAAAAATGCCGACAAAGAAATGCGTAATTTCTATGTTCGGTGAACGTTTTATAAAGGTATATACCTATCTATAAACTGACGATTAACTTACTTTGAACAAAGGTTAAAAATGAGCCGTATTGCATTTTACAGAACATAAAAGGGGGTTGCTTTAGTAACCTACGGAATGATAGCAGGAACGGAGAGGTGTCAATGTAGATTGGAGGGTAACAATAGCTTTTCCCCAATTAGGGAGATGTGGAAACGAAAAAAAATAATTAAAAAATCAATGTATGGGGTTATTCCGTAAATTTTTTCTATTTTCAATACATAACAAGTAACTAATGTAGGAGATGGGAGGAAGATAGTAGAATCTCACACTGATGGGGTGTTGTGAAAATGTTTCATTTTTGGAGAATAAAAATATCAATTTTTGAAGGACAAAATGTCACGAGTTTCCGGAGTGAAGGTGCCCCAGCGCGAGAGGTCGTTAGGACAGGAGGAACCTAACATTTATTACAACATGTGGTAAAAAATATGATTTTTGTATTTAATCAATTTACGAGTTATATAAATAAATTATCAGGATTTGAAAAGTAAAACTAAAATACTGATATGCAAGGGAAGAAAAAGTAGGGAAAGAGCGAATATAAAGATAGGAGACGAAAAATTAGAAGAAGTGGCTGATTTTAGATATCTAGGAAGTCAGATCAGTCAGGACGGAAGGAGTAGTCGGGATATAAAGCAGAGGACAGCGCAGGGTCGTGTCGCCTTTAATAAAAAGAAGTCACTTCTATGCTAGCGAACGGTTAATTTAGAAATTCGAAAAAGGTTGTTAAAGGTGTATGTTTGGAGCACGGCGTTGTACGGGTGCGAAACATGGACAGTGGGAGCGGCGGAAAAGAAAAGGTTAGAAGCGTTCGAAATGTGGTGTTATAGGCGGATGATGAGGATATCGTGGGTAGAAAAGGTTAGAAATGAAGAGGTATTGGAAAGAATAGGAGAACAGAGGACTCTATGGAAGTCAATAAAAAATAGGCGAGATAGGTTGGTAGGACACCTTCTCAGGCATGAAGGTCTAGTCAGAGACATATTAGAGGCAGAAACAGGAGTTAGGAGGGGTAGAGGTAGACCTAGATTAGATTACTGTTCGCAAATAGTTAAGGATGTGGGCTGTTCTAGTTTTAGGGAAATGCGAAGTTTAGCTCAGGATAGGAAAGAGTGGAGGTACGTGTCCAACCAGTCTTAGGACTGATGACCTTATGATGATGATGAGGATTTGAACACATTCATAAGGAAAAGGTATTCGTTCAAGTTCATTTTTTTTTTTTGACTCGGCTTCTTTGGTGACGCGTTCTAGTGATGCTCGGGGAATAAATAACAATTTTTATTTAAAATCAAAACTTATTACTTCTGGTACCCCATACCATGCCATATGATACCAAATACGTATTAAAACTTATGGAATTTTAATTTTTAGTTATTTTGTAGTTGCAGTTCTTCGACTTAAAGTTTCTCCCCCTCGTCTCATTTTTCCTTTCACCTTATTTTGCACTCTCCAGTGAGCCACAAGCTCACAATTTACTAAAGCCAACCCCGTGAATGTTTTGTAAATTCACAATAAAGTAAGTTCACGTTTTCGTTTTACAGAAAATCGAAAGAGACGTTAGATAGAAATAGGATATGTCCTATAGGTACTAGGAAAACCTTTTCTTACGTTGGTTATTTAGATTTCCAATCCGTTCGGTTTTCACTACGTGTTCGAAAATACTTAGAACTTTAAGAGGATGTTACACTTAGCGTATCTGTTTGCTTAGGAAGTAAAAGCATGACCTACAAAAATAAGTTGAGGAATTAATGGACTAAAAAACCTACCCACTTTTCAACGAACCCTAATAATGTCTGCTGCAAAGTGAAGGTTTATTACGTGAAACAAGTGAAGCAAATTAAGAAATTTGTTGTTTATTGACTTATTCAGTTCTGAATAGTCGGAAATTTTCACGAGTTTCACATCGGTGCAAACCAAATTATTCGATATTTCATTGCACATTGTTTATGTTAACGCCTGATATGTTCATAAACGTATACAACAATTATTAGGATGACCCACATACGATTTTTTTTTTATTCTGTACGAAAATTTGTTAGTTTCTAACGTATTAAGAAGCCCCAACAATTACCAGCTTGATTAAAAAGAAAACAACAAAAATTTTAAAATAGTTGAGGATTTTAAGAAAAAATGAATATTTTGCGCTCAAAATCGGAAACAATCCATCATTCTTAATATACAATGGAAAGACAGGGTAAAAAGTAAAAATAAAAGAACAATTGGGCTTTTTATACTTTTAGAATTTTTAAAATTTAGTGCGACTTTCAGAAAATTTTTACTAAAGCCAATAATTGAAGAGGCTTCTTCGTATGTCAAAAAAAATTATTGAAAAACGGGTCATGCTAATAGATATGGCACGTAGAAACTATCGGCCAAAAGACTTACAGATAACTCTGATTAGGACTCGCGTCTTGCTTGCTAGTTTAAAATTCATTATTAAATTTCAATCACATTAACTAGTAATGACTAAAAGAAGATCGACATTATGTAATACAATAAACTAAACAAGATCACAAAATAAATTTAGGGAAAAATGGGTCATGCTGATAGATATGACACGTAGAAACTATCGGCCAAAAGATAACTCTGGTTAGGACTAGCGTCTTGCTTGTTAGTTACCTGGTCTCTTTAAAATTCATTATTAAATTTCAATCACAATAACTAGTAATGACTAAAGAGAGATCGACATTGTGTAACACAATAAATGGCACAAAACAGAGTTTGTTTTCATGGACGGTATTTGCCAATAGCAGTAGAGATATAAAACAAAGGGTAGCGCAGGGTCGAGTCGCCTATAACAAAAAGAAAGAAGTTTGAAAAAGATTATTAAAGGTCTGGAACGGGTGCGAAACATAACTGATGGGCGCGGCGAAGAAAAATAGGGTTAGACGCTTTTGAAATGTGTTATGCACGTGAATGATGAGAATACCGTGGGTAGTGAAGGTTAAAAATGAGGAGGTATTAGAAAAAAAGAAGGAAATGGAAATTAATAAAAAATAGAAGAGGTAGGTTGACAGGACACTTTCTAAGGCATGAAGGGCTAGTTAAAGACATAGTTAGGCAGACACAAAAGGAGTAAAGGTAGGCCTAGATTAGATTACTGTTCACAAATAGTTAAGGATGCGGGATGTTCTGGTTTTACGGTAATGCGGAGATTAGCTCAGGATAGGANATAGGATATGTCCTATAGGTACTAGGAAAACCTTTTCTTACGTTGGTTATTTAGATTTCCAATCCGTTCGGTTTTCACTACGTGTTCGAAAATACTTAGAACTTTAAGAGGATGTTACACTTAGCGTATCTGTTTGCTTAGGAAGTAAAAGCATGACCTACAAAAATAAGTTGAGGAATTAATGGACTAAAAAACCTACCCACTTTTCAACGAACCCTAATAATGTCTGCTGCAAAGTGAAGGTTTATTACGTGAAACAAGTGAAGCAAATTAAGAAATTTGTTGTTTATTGACTTATTCAGTTCTGAATAGTCGGAAATTTTCACGAGTTTCACATCGGTGCAAACCAAATTATTCGATATTTCATTGCACATTGTTTATGTTAACGCCTGATATGTTCATAAACGTATACAACAATTATTAGGATGACCCACATACGATTTTTTTTTTATTCTGTACGAAAATTTGTTAGTTTCTAACGTATTAAGAAGCCCCAACAATTACCAGCTTGATTAAAAAGAAAACAACAAAAATTTTAAAATAGTTGAGGATTTTAAGAAAAAATGAATATTTTGCGCTCAAAATCGGAAACAATCCATCATTCTTAATATACAATGGAAAGACAGGGTAAAAAGTAAAAATAAAAGAACAATTGGGCTTTTTATACTTTTAGAATTTTTAAAATTTAGTGCGACTTTCAGAAAATTTTTACTAAAGCCAATAATTGAAGAGGCTTCTTCGTATGTCAAAAAAAATTATTGAAAAACGGGTCATGCTAATAGATATGGCACGTAGAAACTATCGGCCAAAAGACTTACAGATAACTCTGATTAGGACTCGCGTCTTGCTTGCTAGTTTAAAATTCATTATTAAATTTCAATCACATTAACTAGTAATGACTAAAAGAAGATCGACATTATGTAATACAATAAACTAAACAAGATCACAAAATAAATTTAGGGAAAAATGGGTCATGCTGATAGATATGACACGTAGAAACTATCGGCCAAAAGATAACTCTGGTTAGGACTAGCGTCTTGCTTGTTAGTTACCTGGTCTCTTTAAAATTCATTATTAAATTTCAATCACAATAACTAGTAATGACTAAAGAGAGATCGACATTGTGTAACACAATAAATGGCACAAAACAGAGTTTGTTTTCATGGACGGTATTTGCCAATAGCAGTAGAGATATAAAACAAAGGGTAGCGCAGGGTCGAGTCGCCTATAACAAAAAGAAAGAAGTTTGAAAAAGATTATTAAAGGTCTGGAACGGGTGCGAAACATAACTGATGGGCGCGGCGAAGAAAAATAGGGTTAGACGCTTTTGAAATGTGTTATGCACGTGAATGATGAGAATACCGTGGGTAGTGAAGGTTAAAAATGAGGAGGTATTAGAAAAAAAGAAGGAAATGGAAATTAATAAAAAATAGAAGAGGTAGGTTGACAGGACACTTTCTAAGGCATGAAGGGCTAGTTAAAGACATAGTTAGGCAGACACAAAAGGAGTAAAGGTAGGCCTAGATTAGATTACTGTTCACAAATAGTTAAGGATGCGGGATGTTCTGGTTTTACGGTAATGCGGAGATTAGCTCAGGATAGGAAAAAGTGGAGATGGGTGTCTAACCAGTCTTAGGACTGACGATCTTTTGATAATGGTGATGAATAGCCAATAGAGTATCAGACGATAAAGGGTGCTCAGTAACGGATAAAACGTAATGTCAAGCTTTTGTTACGGCAAAATTAGTACGTCATAAAGATAATACTTAACGAACTAATTTGTAATATTTCCCGTGATGGTCAAAACAACTACTCAATTTAGCGGACTTATATAACTTAAGCAGCAGTAATCTTCCCTATAAAAAATAGTCCAGTCATACTTAAATAAAAGGGATTTTTTAATTTCATTATTTTCTTTTGCTGCAATTCTATTCGAATAAGGGCCCGTGCAATTTTTGAAACTTGAAAGAATTCCGCGGTAACGAAAAGATTAACACAAGCTTTAGCATGTCAAAAGACAAGCTTCAATTACCTCAGCTTGTTTTACAAGATTGTGCTTTCAAATTATGTAAGAACGTATAATTCGTCAGTTGTCCTTGTCAATAATAATTATTTATTTAGCTAGTTGGACTTATTGAATGAGATAAAAGTTATCCTTCCAAAGCACATTTAATCGACATAGGTATTATGTTTCTTTATTTTCTTTTACTCTTTCTTGTTGTCATGGACAACATAAGTAATCCTGAATATTAACTTGAAATTAATGGAAATGTGTATTATGTCTTGTACTTGAAGCTTTTCTACATTTTCAAGTTCATATTATTGCCGTATAAATACCGCAGGGGACATTTTCAATTCAGTTTTATGAATTACTCAACAAAGTCCTTTTCCAATGTTTCATTTCAAATGTATGGAAATAGAAACGGATTGGAAATAACTAAATTGGTATTTCTTTAGCAATCGGAAATGAACTTTAATAAAAATGTCTCGTGTATGAGACAATAATAATGTTATCAAACAAAGTAATTGAGTGGATATTGCATTTGCTTCAGTCCATGATAGATATGTAAGTACATTTCACGTTATATCGTTAATAATTTTTTGGAGCTACATGTGGCTTCTAGTACAAGTTCTCTATAACGTTGTGTTTTTCAAAATTCAGCACTTCCATCAAGTACAAATTTATTTAGATTAGATTATGACTGCAAAGCTAGCATAATAATATACAAAAATTAATTTCGAAAACGTCGAGATTAAGGTCCTTTTAGGAAAAAAAGCAAAAAAATTCACTTTTTTTTCTTTCTCTTTTTAAAGGATGTGTACCACTTAAAGGTAAAGGTTGTAATTAGTTTAGGTAACCATAGCCTAACCTTCGAAAGGTGTATAACATTAAAAAATATAATGTAGTAAAAAAATACAACAATAAACATAAATTATGAGCCCTTAATTTTTGCCTTTGGATCAAAATTAGCCCTAAAAGGCCCCTAATTTCTCCATTTTTTGAAACTTATTTTGGCCATGCAGTTACAATTTGATGTTTTTTGACTTTCGTTGAAGAGATTAAGGACCAATTTCCTAATTTCATTTTTCCCTGATTGAACTATTTTCGTCTACACGGATCCGCCCCTAAGTCACATTCGTTAGTAAAAACAACAAAAACAGGAGAAAAAAGAAATGTTTTTGTTGTTCTTTTGTTCCAAAACGTGGTATGACAGACGAAACAGCTCCTGAGAGATAAAACTCAAAACTAATTAACGTTACAAGTAATTTATACCTTATCTACAGTTTACTGGACTGCTAAAAACAGGATTTCGAGGAAAACGATATAAAAACGGACGCACAAAAAAAAAAACAATAAAACCGAATGGACATTAATTTTGTTATAAATGCATAGTCTAATTAACCGAGTGTCTTCATCAATAGTAAATGTTGTTTTACATTAAACATTTCAATAATGTTTATAAGGAAACTCAACAAACCCATGTATAAACAATAAGTTTGATGGAATTGCTGTTAATTTGAATTTACGAGGGAGGTTCAATAAGTACCCGTGTTAGAAATGAAGACACCATTTTTTCAAAAAATTTTTTTCTTATTTTTCAACATCGCCCCTTTTAGAACGATACTCTTCTCCCAAATGTTCCTGTCATTTTTTTAGTCCCTCCAAAAATAGGATTTGTCGAACTCTTCGAAATACGCCCATGTCTCGGCGATGACAACTCGACGCAAAAAGTCCTTCGGATCTCGCTTAAATTGTTCCAAATATTGCTTTGAAATTAACAGCCGTATCCGCGTGTTGTCCACCGCGAGCAATCGCGGCACCCATCGGGCCGACAATTTTTTCATCGCCAGCTTATCATGTAAAATATTAATTGCCGTTCCGGTCGACACACCTACGGGCTTTGCTAATTCGCGCACTTTCGTTCGTCGATCAGCGAGTATCATGTCGTGGACTTTTTCAATGATTTTCTCGGTAACCACGTCTGGCGGGCGTCCTGGTCGCTCCTCATCAAAAACGGTTGTTCGCCTACTTGAACCAATATCTAACTGAGGTCATAGATGGCGAAGTGTCCCCATAAACAGTATCTAATTTTACTTTTATCTCCTCGCATTTTTTCCCATCCAACAAGCGAGTTACTAAATGATACTGCTCTTATTCAATCTTAACAAAAATCGCGAAACACGACTCACTCGAATGGCTGCCAAATCCAAACTAACCAATCAATCAGTCTGAAATTTGTTTTGGCGTCGTTTGATAGATGACAGCACACGACGATAGCACCAACTTCCCTCAGGAACGTCCTCTGTCTTCAAACACGGCTACTTATTGTACCGCCCTCGTAGATGCTAATAGAAGTTATTACATTATTTATCACATTAGAGGCATGAGTACGTTCGTCAGAATTCGTAGAATTTTGTAATCCCTCAGCATTCAATTTACTAAACATTTATTTGCAGACACCACAAAAGCACCAATTCTCAAACAGCTTGTTTAATCGAGTAATAAACAATAAATTTGCGCTCTATTTACTTTTATTTGTATGTAGCCCATAGGTCGTGAATTTTGATGAAATTTGAAATTTATGACAATTCATTTGCCTCTACAATTTTACACATTCGTAATGAAGAACTAGGCCTTTGGCGAGTGTCAATAATTTAGTTAATTAGTACATTTAAAATACTTGAATGCGGTTACTATGGAAAATAATTTCACGATTGGATGTAATATGAAAATAAAGTTAGATATCTAGCCAATAGATACTGGCGACAAAATTAAAAACACGTCTGATATAGGCCAAAATGTACCATAAGTATAAAAACAACATTTCGATAATAAAACATATTCAACAAAGTGTTTAGAAATTCAAGACGCGCTTCGACACCCAAGGAGTTATCCTTAGTGTCTATATTTTATTAGTTCCACAATACTTTAATTGATATTTCATCTTCGATGTTGGATGCGGACATACGTACAACGTACTTCTACAATCATTAAAAAAATCACAAAAATGCTCCACACGCCACCAAATTTGTCAGAGAATCCAAACCATGTGAAGCATAATCCGAACCCCCAATTTCATGGGTAGGTGGATTACGGATTATATGAATCAAAAAATAACTCCCGGATTACGAATTATTACAGATTATAATCCACGTTGTAATCCCGTGTAATCCAGGATTATTAGCATCACTGCTCCTCTGGTGATACATAATTATGGAATTACCTAATTATAATAATAGAACTGTGCCTTAGTCCTAGAAGTTATCGTTTAATGGAAATTATGTCAGAATTTTTAATTAAAAATTACCAATTTTTTGACAGGATGTGGTAATGACTATACCTAAATTCATGTCGTTCCGTCTAAATTTCGACAAGTTATACCAGGTGTTATAGTATCTATTTATCTATCTATCTAATCTTTATTGTAACGTTAACTTATTATTCATCCAAAAACATTACATCACAAATAATATAGGCTACATATGTACCATAACACCTAATAGATTATTCTCAAATTATTTTAAAAGTTGTTGTCGTTATTCTTTATTCCAGCCACTTTGCAAGCTAATAGGTACTATTACATTCTTAAACCTATCTTTTTATCCATCACCCTCCTTCCTTCTTATTTCCTACTAAATGACCGTTTTCCTTCCGTCTTTATAATTTTTCTTTTTCTTCGTTTCATACCTGTACTACCTCATCTCTTATTATTATTTATTTGTGCCTAACCCTGACTCTTTTACTATTTTTTCCAAAATCTTCTGTATTTTTCTCTATTCCATTGTCAAATTATCTCTTATATCTCTCTCATCATCTGCATCTGGCCTTTCCACTTCTCCATTTTTTGTCCCATACACCTTCTTCTTAACTTTTCATACTTCTTTCACCTCCACCTTCCATCCCATCTTCTCTTTTATCACTGTTTCCAATTCCATCTTTTCTTTATTATCCCTCAACTCTATTCTAACGATTTTCAGATTTAGCGTTTTTTCGTCCCTTTCGATTTCTTTTCTTCTTATTCTTTTTTGTGTTCTTCCGCTTGCTTCTTTACACGCTTTTCGATCCCTATTTCATTTAATACAATTTCCTTCATTTCTTCTTATAAACTTTTCTTTCTGGCCCTATTTTTTACCACGTTTTCATTGTATTTGTCGAATTTTTCGTCTATTTCCTGTAGTTTTCCCGTGGTCTCCTTCTTCATTTCTATCATCTTTTCCTTTATACTCTTATTTTCCTCCTTAGTTTTATCCAACTTTTGTTCCAAATTCTCCCATCTTATTCATTCTTGTAAATCTATTTTTTTTGTTTTTCATCATTTTTTTTTCACGTTTTCTAATTTTTTTTCTTTGTCTTCCACTAATTTCATTAACCTATCCTATTTATCCATTTTATTATCAAATTCCTCTATATTTATTCTTTTCAATTCTTTCTCTTCTTCCTTTAGACTACACACTTATCTTTTTTTATTTTACTATGGTAGGCACTATAATAATAATTTCCTTACTAATCAATTGAGTAGGACGTCTTTAAACAGGTCTCGTTAAATGCAACAAAAACAAGAAAATTGGTCATAATCTTCACTGAGCACATAATTTCTAAAAAAAAAAAAAACATCTGAATGTAGCTTTTTAATTTGGGTTATGTATTGGACCAAGTGTAAAAGAAAAGCGTACGGAAATGTAACAAATATTTAATCCTGTTTCGAAACAGAGAATTGATCCTCGTACGTTAAATAGAAATTTATGGCCTTCTTTCCGTAAAAAGGATCTTGAACCTCGCGAATCTGCAACAGTAGCAGCTTTAGGATACATTACCGATCGGTAATTTACAGCGTTTCCGGAATGACAAAAAGATAAAAAGGTTACCTCTATAAATCTTCCAGAATATTAAAATCGACTAACCTGATCAGGACCGTAATAATTTTCTTTTCGCTCTTCTCATTATTAAACATACACCCTGTGTTTATAAAACGAATAAACATACATACAATTTAGACATCTTTTTGAAGTGAGTTAGTTTAATATGAAATATTATTCTGAAAATTNTAATCTTTTCAAATACCTACTACATAATTTTTTTAAGTTTGAAACCGGACTTCTTGTAGAAACTACGACTAACCTTTTGATTTGACAAAATTTAGTTTCTTTTTATCTAAAAGTGACTATGTCAAGCAACTGGGCGTTTAGTGGCTAAATTATGACTTTCGGGGCTTCGGCACGTTTTCGCTTCACAAGAAACGCCTTACGCTTGCGGTGCATTTCCGATCGTTATCTCTTTAAAAAATGAACACTTCACCGACTTTCAGTTCTTAAAGAAAGCTACATCGTTCGGAATATCCAACAATTTAAATTTAGATATTTCGAAAACGTTTCTCGTTTAATTTATCTACTATATAAGTAAAACCGCCCTGAATGTACCTATAGTTAGGACATTCAAAATTGGCATAGTCCACACAATAAATTACCTGTGAGAATGGTCGTATCCTCTTTCTTGTTTCCACTTAAGACTGTAGTCATTTGCTGCATTTTGAACACGCCCTTATTAAGTTAGGAAATGCTTCATGAGCAGTACAGACAAAATGAAAAGAAATATTATTCTGAAAATTAATTTTTGAATTTTATACCCACTACACGCTACCTCAAATTAATGAGGGCTAGTATATTCAGTATATATAGTCACATTAGTACGACGGATCGTTAACCTTGTAGGTCGGTTGGTAGTGGTTGCAGTTGTCATCTCTCGTAGTTTAGTGGTCAGAACATTGGTGCGTAAAGCCAAAGGTTCGGGGTTCGATTCCCGGCGGGGGTGTGACAACAGCAATAATTTTTCCGTCATTAATTTGAGGTAGCGTGTAGTGGATATAAAATTCAAAAATTAATTTTCAGAATAATATTTCATATTAAACTAACTCACATCGAAAAGATGTCTAAATTGTATGTATGTTTAAATGAAAAGAGATAACCGAATAACAGTAAGTGGTGCAGCGGTTAGAGGTTGGTAAGGTACGCAAAAGATCAGGGTCGGCTTTATAACAGTCTGGCTGGAATCTTTAAACAAGCGTCTTTGATTTCCTAAATTCCTTAAAATTCCTTAAAATGTTAAACTTTTTTTAAAGTCCGATACTGGCAACATGCTCAAATTCTACTTGTCTGCATCTCTTTCTGTTACACATCAATTGGTGTAATGTTATTCCTTTTTCTTTATTAGTGTCCGCTGCAATTCTTACCTGGCATCTCTTTTCTATGTTTACAATATTCCCTATAACGCTTGTAGTGTGTAAAAGTAGGCGTTCTGTGAGCAACCGCTCTACTCTAATTAGTAAGTTAAAAGAATTTTGGACGTCTAACTACAGAAAAGCAAACAATTAACCTTTTTAGAGAATTTTCTGATTAAAAATGCATTAAAAGATAACAAACTCTTAGTACATTACAATCTGAAATTAGAAACTTCAAACTTGCCTTTACTATTTTATAATTGGTGATTTATTTTATAATTTCTAATTTATATTTACGTTTAGATCCTTATCTCTTGCTCCCAGAGTAGCAGGCTAGAGACAAGTATGAGAAATATAATAAATAATTTGAAAAATTAAGATGCGAAATTTGTGAGAAAACCTACGAGTACGTTGAAGTGGTAGAATTAGAATGAGAGAGAAAGCAGGTCTAACTAGAAATACAAAGCTTTGAATGAGAGAGTGTGAAACAGAGTAAAAAAAAAATTAAAAGTTAGAAAGTATAATTTGACCATTACACAGACACCAAGGAGTGTGAATTTGAAGTGTCGATTTTAAAAGAATTTATGTCAAAACATATGTACCTAAAGATATTTTAGTGGCTATTATTATGGACCTTATCGAACTTCTTCTATAGATGGCGTTCTCTATGCTGTTTGCAGAATTTATAAATTTTATTTCGTACAAATTGTGTGTATTTACCCCACACATTTTCAAAAGAACCTCAAAATTATGTACCATCATCACACTTGAGACTCCCCACACACAAATCGTCGACGTTAGTTTTTGTCATCATTATTATTATCCCACAAGTTGTAGCAATTTTCTATACATGGCGTTCTCTATGCTGTTTACACAGTTTATAAATTTTGTTTCGTACAAATTAGTGTTTACCCCACACATTTTTAAAAGAACCACAACATTATGTACCATTATCACACTTGAAACTCCCCACACACAAATCGTTAGTTTTTGTCTTCCTCCTTGACTTAAATTCTTGCATTAATCAAAAGATTTTTTACTATAATTACATTGAAACCAATTTCTGTTGACATGTCCACGGCAAAAGAAACAGAAGTGGATGAGACAAATAATTCCAAGAATTTTTACGACCCCCAATTTTCAGATGGGCGAAATTTGCTAAGCCAAACGATGTCCATTGCATTCCAAAAGACATAGTCGTTGCTGCGAAAGGATGTTGTCTGACCTTTACAGATGCCAACACGCATTTTTCAAGGACATACGGTGCAAATAATGCCGCGAAAGGTGAAGGGGTGAAATGTTTCGCAGGTCACAGAACACTGCCTGTGTTTGCGTTTGCCGAAATGTGTATTCAACCCCATATTATGGTTATGCATTATCCCACCTTCCAAAAGTTTGCGGACCTTTCCGGTAGGTCACATTGTTTATCCTTTTTACCGTATGATAATCCAATGATCTACATTTACCCCGAAATGAGGTTTTCAACCGTAATGCAACTGATTTTCCCACAATTGCATAATCTTTGTATTAAATATACAACTTAGTTTTTATTTTATGTTATAAGTTAGATTTAAAAATGATATACCAATCGCAAAAGCAAACAACTTAGTATTTTTCTTGAAATTTATTTATTTGAAGATAAAAAATTATCTTCTTACTGCTCCTTTCCTGAAGAACATTAACAAAATGGTATAACCAACGGGTTGAATAGACAAGTTACCTGGAAGAACCCTGCGGTTGTTTTTAAAATAGAAAAAGTTGATGGAATAGTTTGATCAAAAATTTCAGTCCTTTTAGAAAATACTACAAATGGCGCAGTAAACGCCATCTGTAGCGCGATGCTACATTTTAGGATTACATACAGACCACTTCGAATTATTTTATTCGATTAAGCTAACGTGCCTATCACGTTGAGGTTAGCTACGCCGGGATTCGTTTTCAGCAAGTAGATATCCACATAAGTGGACCTTGTTGGAGCATACGTAATCCTAAAATGTAGCATCGCGTTACAGATGGCGTTTATTGCGCCATTTGTAGTATTTTCTAAAACGCACTGTTAAGACAGCAGGTAAAAGTTGGTCTGTGTTCTGTCGGAGCTGCCTGCGAGGCGCTGATGGGATCCAAAAAGATCGAAATCGCGATCCGCGTCTGGCAGTTTCGACAGAATACAGACCACTTCTAATTAATTTAAATTTCAGTCCTCTTGAAGAGTTATCTGAGCCCTCGTTTGTTTCCAATACTTCAAAGTAAATATTTATTATCTTGATACTTTCATGTTTCTATTATTTATGAGATAAAGCGTCCAACAAATTCATGATTACGTCAACTTGGAGACAGTTACAGTATTCTTGTTAATTCTTATATTTTAAATAAAATTATTCCCCCCTTAAGGGGGGCTTCTCTTCAAATTCACTCATTTCACCTAAAGCTGGCACTGCATACATTATTCGTAATTTTTTGAGGGTTGTAAGTCGCAATCTGATACAGATAGTTACCACCGTCGATCTATTCAGATTTTAACCACCCAGGTTTTATTAACAAGTACGGATTAAACTCTTAGTCAGCGATCTCACCAGCACGCCATGAGCAGTCTCGATAAATCAAGTAAATATAATTAAATGGTTTGGTCTGTGATTTACCGAGAATGCCTAATGTGCTGATAAGTTAAATAATATCGAAACCACGATTCTCGTTTTGTGGCTTCAATTAATTTTCTTCCTTTGGTTTGCGTCACTTTCACGTATATAAGTTGGACAAGTAAATAACTTAGTAAAGCCTTTGTCCAAAATTTGAATTACTTCAGTCAGTAACAAATATCGGCAGATGGCGTTATACTGACGCAACCCGATACTATACAAACTTATTGTCCTCAAGTCTTTAGAGGGTAAGAGGTAACTTTATTTATGAAAGGCAATACGTCATTAGGCAATAAGGAATAAAACTTTGTTTTACAAGATCGTTACAACTAAACAAATATTTTCGAATTTTTAGGTGAATGTATCGAAGGATATTCAGAATTGACTTTTTCTGACGCTGATTATTTAGTAAGTTTGGGAAGCTTACCGCTGTTCACGTTGATCATATGGAACTGGCGAAAAGGTGAAATGCTTTCGAAAATGATAACTGGTCTTCCTTCTGTACACCAGATAATCAGGTATAATTAAAAATAACTAAGTGGATGGAAAAAGACACCGTCTACGAAGCAAATATCAATTACATTAACATTAACAACATCTATTACATATACCTACATCTGCGGCCCACTTTTTAATTCACTACCAGCTCATTAATTTATTATTTAGTTACCTGTCTGCGTTTGTATAAATAGAATTGCTAATTTTGCTTGTAACGATTGTACAACATTTAAATAAATTGTTTATTTAGAAGAAATGACGACATCTCGCAAACGGTGAAAACAATAAAAGAGAGTTAATTTTTATTCAAATTAATAAAAAAACTATATATCATTCATTATCATCATCATAAGGTCGTCAATCCTAAGACTGGTTGGACACGTACCTCTACTCCTTCCTATGATGAACTAATTTTTGCATTTCCCTAAAACAAAAACATCCCTGATCCCTAATTATTTGCAAACAATGATCTAATCTAGGTTTACCTCTACTTCTCTTAACTCCTGTTTTTGCCTGTAATATGTATATCTATCCCTACCGTTGTACTGTATTTAATGATGTTGACTCAATTCCTCATATTTTCTTCTCTACATTGCAGCTCCAGCTGTAAAACTGCTTGTTGCTCTTTACACAAACTAAGTATATCAATGCAACAAATAATTTCAAACATTGCTTCACAGTGTTAATAAAAGGAAAATTATTAAATTTTCGAGAAATTTTAGAAACAGTAAAAGCCATCAAGGAAGGTCAGAGTATTACCAACAATCAAGTTGGAAACTCCTCATCCTCTTACAATTTACCTTCTAAGAACGCTAACTAACCATTACTATTTAAACACATTAGGCAAACGATATCGTTAAAATATAAATACAAATTGTGAAACAACCCAAAAGCCGCATACTTACCAATACAAAAAACATTAACTTACATATATATAACTTGCAATAGGAATGACTTAAAAGTTTGTTAATCAATAATAAAAATGTAAGTATAATTAAAAGCAAGAACAGTGAGCGTAATGCAACATACAATATATAGGTCAAACAGGCCGTAATTATTATAAAAGGCTAAAAGAACATAAAGAATCTGTACTAGATACCTAATAAATTCACTAGGTACCGAATTTTCAGTTAGTTTCTATTAGACGATCTGATTTACATATAGGTAAAAAAAAATTACTGGAGTTTTTCTTACAATATTCAAGACGTTTTACAATTTCTCTACCAGAAATTATTTCAACGTTATTAAAAACGTAATTTCATCCAAAGGTGCAGTTCTACGAACCCAACAATTGTTGCCCAAATGGGTATAGCCACGACGTTTTTGTATATGTGGACTATTTTCGTAAGTGGAAAGAAGTTCATTATGAAGAAAAAAGAACTACGAGTCAATCGATTTACAACACCCTTTAGCTCCCTGGCATGGCACAGTGATGGAACTTTATTTGTACTTGATGTCATAGGCAATGTATACACTGTAGGTTTATTGTATATCCATAATTTCATAGTAGCGATGATTATGTTTCCATCGATATCAATTTCTTAAATGTATACATACAGTTAGTTGTAAATTTCTGTTACACCCTTCGTAGGTTAACAACGATTATTTGTTGCAATGTATAATAACTTGGCCAACACCAGGCACATGTTTGACTTGTTTTGCATGGTATAAAGGAGGATTATTGGTTTCTGGATCAAATGGAAAAATGATTGTATGTATCCTTATAAAGCGTTATCAATACGATATGTTTATAATTTTACAATAAATAAAGGAAAAATAAAAGGCAGTTTTGGCCCACTCCAGGTCACTCCAGACCTAAAAAAATATCGCTCTAAAAAGCAATTAAAAAGCATTATGTCATCATTTGGTGATATGACGTGGTGATGAGGACTAATAAGTCGCTATTCACGCCTATTAGTTTTGCTAAATCACTGTCTAAGAGCTTAGAGGGCGGTTCAATAAGTACCCGTATTAGAAATGAAGACACCTTTTTTTTTAATGTTTTTTTTTTTTCAACATAGTCCCCTTTTAGAAAAAATAAAATTTGTCGAACTCTCCAAAATTCCCCCTGTCTCGGCGATGACTTCCTCGTTTGAGCAAAATTTATTTCTCGCTAGTCATTTCTTCATGGTTGCGAACAAGATGAAGTCACAGGGAGTCAAATCGGGGTGTGCGGCAGCAAATTCATAATTCATGCATTTTGGCGGCAACAACTCCTGATGAATGTGCCGGTGCGTTATCGTGTTGCACCTTCTTTTTCGTCAAATGCGTCCGTGTCTCTTTCAATTTTTTATCGAAGCGGTCCAATAACTCACTGTAGTATTGTCCAGTGATCGTTCTTCCTTTTCTTAAAAAATTGAAAGAGACACGGACGCATTTGACGAAAAAGAAGGTGCGTTTTCAACACGATAACGCACCGGCACATTCATCAGGAGTTGTTGCCGCCAAAATGCATGAATTACGTTATGAATTTGCTGCCGCACACCCCG